GTCACTTAAACGTCCCAAGGTCACACCGTCGCGCTCACTGGCCTTTCTGCTCCCAGATCCTGCGCAGCCGAGGCTGTGTCAGCCCCAAGGACTTCCAGCAGCTGTTGGGAGAGGTAACAACTCCCCGCCCGCCCTCGATTGCTCCCTCCGCACCCAGCCTGGCCTTTCCTCTTTAGATGTGCATCAGCAGTTTGAGGAGTCTCCCAGCCTCAGGCCTGCCAGTGTCAGATCCTTAGACCTCCCCTTTCCCCCCTCCTGTCCTCACTCACCACAGCATCTGGGTCCTGGCAGCATAAAAAGAGAAAGCAGGAGCAACGCCAAGTTGTCTGCCTCCTGCCCTCTTGAGATACTCGGGCTCCGGGGAGGAGTCACTTGCCCAAGGTTTCACAGCAGGTGGAGTGGAGGTCCCGCCCAGGGCCGCCTGGCTCCTGGCTCTTCAACCCTCCCCCACGCCACTTCTGCGGCTGCTGCTTGTCTCCCACCCGGGGGTCAAGTGTCGGGAAGCTTCCCAGGACAGCCCGCTGCAGCCTCTGGAACACAAACTTTGACCGGGACTCTGTTTCCCCTCCTTGAGTGGGCCCAGCTGGTTGAGGAGCAGCGAGGGGTCTCATCCCAGCCAGGCTCAGGCTGGTGCAGCCCTGAGTGGGATGGGCCCCCTTCTGGAAGGATGCCCCTTCAGCTAACAGCTTAGCACCTGCCATTTACCCTGGTAGAGTCAGGAGCACAGGGAGACCTTGCTCCCAGCCCTGGCCATGCCCTGGGCTTCCTGAGCCTCAGTTTCCTCATCTGCACAGTGGCCTCGGGGGGGGGGGATGGGAGGCCCCAACCTCATACCCAGGCCCTGTGTAACCCCAGCTTGAGAAGGAGGTGGAGCGGCGGCAGCGGCTGGGGCAGGAGTCGGCCGCCAGGAAAGCCCTCATTGCGAGCTCCTACCACCCAGCACGGCCCGATGTCTACAGCTCACTGCAGGTACCTGGCAGGGGGCAGGTTACTGGAAGGAGGCGGAGGCATCCGGTCCTGAGGGCTGTCTGCCCCACGGCTTGTGTGCTCTGCCCCCAGGATGTGGCTCTGGCCCCCGAGTTTCTGGCCGCAGCTGAGTACAGCACATCGCCAGGTGCAGACCTCCAGGGCCTTCTCCAGCGGCTGGAGACAGTTTCTGGTGAGGTCTTGGCCCATCACCTTGCAGCACTGGGGGTGGGAGACTGAGGTCCCTCCACCCACCATATCTGCCTCCAAAAATCAAACCAGCAGGACTGAGAAGGGCTGGCGGGACAGACCCATCAGGAACAGGGCATCTGTATCCATTCACTCACTTATCCAACAGTTATTCAGTGCCTTGCATCAGACACGCTCAAATAGGGGTGACTGAAGAGGTTAACAAAGGGACAGTTGAGACAAGTGTGGGCTAAGGAATCAGCAAGGGATGGGGAGGGCCCCGCCCCAGGGCTAGCAACGGGGGTGGGGTTGGGGGTAGGGAGCCGTTCCTATCCCAAGACCTGAAGGAGTGGGCAAGAATGAGGTTTCTTGAACCTGCCAGGACCTGGAACTGTGGGAGAGGGCTCGCCAGATGAGGTGCACATCTGAATTTGGAGGCTAGACCTCAGGGCAGGGTGAGGCTTCAGGGATGAGTGGGGGGCCCAAGAATAGGGCTCCCCTGCTGCACATTATGTCATTTAATCATCACAAGAGCCCTGAGAGGTGAGTACTCACGTCATCCCCATTGTACAGATGAGGAAACTGAGGCTGGGGGAAGTGAAAAGTTTATGGGTAGATTGAAACCCACACCGGAGCTCCCGGCCAACCGACTGTCCCTCCCTCCACAGAGGAGAAGCGTATCTACCGGCTGCCGGTGTTCACAGCGTCGTTCTGCCAGGCCCTGCTGGAGGAGCTGGACCACTTCGAGCAGTCAGACATGCCCAAGGGAAGACCCAACACCATGAACAACTATGGGGTGGGTGAGGCTCCACCCGGTGGGCCCGAGGAGGTGGGGACATTGTCTGGTGAGATGTATCCCCAGCGCTGCAGACATTCTCCAAGCCTCGGTTTCCCCATCTGTAAAATGAGATCACAGCAGGATTATTATGAAGTTAAGCACGTTGATGTCTGCAAAACACTTAACAGTGTCCTTAGTAAGGGACTCCCCCAGGGATGCAGGGTGAGGCCGTACCAGTTTCCCCGCTGACCCTGGGATCCCCCTCCCAGGTGCTGCTACACGAGCTGGGCCTGGATGAGCCACTGGTGACGCCACTGAGGGAGCGCTTCCTGCAGCCGCTGATGGCCCTGCTGTACCCAGAGTACAGGGGCTGGCTGGACAGCCACCGCGCCTTTGTGGTCAAATACGCGCCAGGCCAGGATCGCGAGCTGGGCTGCCACTACGATAACGCCGAGCTCACCCTCAACGTGGCCCTGGGCAAGGCCTTCACGGGGGGTGCTCTCTACTTTGGGGACCTCTTCCAGGTTAGTGTGTGTGACCCGTGGGGCAGGGCTGGGGCCACTGAGAGTGCCCAGGCCTAAGCCCCGCTGTCCACAGGCGCCTTCGGCCCTGGCCAACCCCCTGGAGGTAGAGCACGTGGTGGGCCAGGGCATCCTGCACCGTGGGGGCCAGCTGCACGGGGCCCGCCCCCTGGGCACTGGTGAGCGTTGGAACCTGGTCGTCTGGCTCCGCGCCTCTGCTGTGCGCAACCGCCTCTGCCCCATGTGCTGCCGCAAGCCCGACCTGGTGGATGATGAGGGCTTCGGTGACGGCTTCACCCGCGAGGAGCCCGCCACGGTGGACGTGTGTGCTCTGACTTGAGCCTGGCTGGGGCCAGTGTGGCGGGGTGAGGGGCAGAAATAAACACCCTGCAGCCCTCAGCACATCTTGGTTCAAAAGGACACACGAGCTTCTGGGTCATTCTTTGAGCAGACACGTTGGCTTAGGCCGGGTTTGTTAGAACCAGAGCCTGAGACAGGGATTCCTGTGCAGGTGGTTTAAGGAGGGGATACTCTTGGGAGAAGAGGGAGCAGGACAGAGCAGGAAGGAACTGGGCCAAGATGGTTTGAAATGGCATCCAGCCTCAGCCCCATCCCACGGGGCTCTCTCTGGAGCATAAATCATACCACAGTTTGCCTTCCACATCAGATATCAGCTATAGGGTGTTTTGGGGTAGGGAGGGGGTGAGTAACTTCCCAGACATCCATCTATCTCCAGGGCAAGGTGATTCCCAGCGGCCCAGGGAATCTTCAGGAGAAGAGTACAGGTGTGAGGGACTTCCCTGGTGGTCCAGTGGTTAAGAATCTGCCTTCCAATGCAGGGGACGTGGGTTCAATCCCTGGTCAGGGAACTAAGATCCCACATGCCGCGGGGCAACTAAGCCCGTGCACAGCAACTACTGAGCCCGCGCACCTCAACTAGAGAGTCCGTGCGCCACAGCAAAGGGCCCACGTGCCGCAACTAAGACCCGATGCAGGCAAAAATAAATACATAAAATAAAAAATAAATAAATGTTAAAAAAAGAGTACAGGGCTTCCCTGGTGGCGCAGTGGTTGGGAGTCCGCCTGCCGATGCAGGGGACATGGGTTCGTGCCCCGGTCTGGGAAGATCCCACATGCCGCGGAGCGGCTGGGCCTGTGAGCCATGGCTGCGGAGCCTGTGCGTCCGGAGCCTGTGCTCCGCCAACGGGAGAGGCCACAACAGTGAGAGGCCCACCGCAAAAAAAAAAAAAAAAAAAAAAAAGAGTACAGGTGTGAGGTGTCAGCAGCAGACACCACCCTGGGAGTGAGCGCCCCGTCACTAAGGGGGATTTAGATGGGCTGCCAACAGCATCTTCTGGACCGTGTGGAGGGGTTACTGCAGAGGGATTAAAAGCAAGGACTTGGAGCCAGACCTCTTGGGTTTGAATTCTGATTCGGCCGCTTCCGGCTGTGACTGGGTAAGCCACATGATTCTCCATGCCTTTGTTTCCTCCTCTGGAAAGTACTCGTGTCCTAGAGGTGTTGTGGAGATCAAGTGACTTACGGTTTATACAGTGATTTTGTGCCTTTTTTTTTTTTGCGGTACACGGGCCTCTCACTGCTGTGGCCTCTCCCGTTGCGGAGCACAGGCTCCGCACGTGCAGGCTCAGCGGGCCCAGCCGCTCCGCGGCATGTGGGATCTTCCCGGACCAGGGCACGAACCTGTGTCCCCTGCATCGTCAGGCGGACTCTCAACCACTGCGCCACCAGGGAAGCCCTGTACAGTGATTTTTAACAGACCTGTGAGTTTGCTGCTGTCGTTACTATTGAAGAGTTTGCAACTTGGCGGCCCCAGGATTGGATGAGGCCTGCAGCTATGCTGTGTTTGGGAGGGTTTTCCATGTTGAAAGCTTGAGTTCTGGCTTCCGTGGGAAGGTGGGAAGATCTGGAAACACCGGGCCCCAATCGACACTGCAGTAATCAGCAGAAGCGGACTCAGCTGCCCCCAGTCTAGACGGGCCTGCGGTGCACTTTCTCACAGGGGTCTTTCCGTCATTCATTGTCATGCCCTCTCTGGTCCTTATGGACATTTGAGTTTGCGACCTCTGTATTACTGGGTGGAGACGGTGTAAAGACCAAGGCCCTGGAGCTTACGGCCCGTCGCAGTGGACACGTTCGCAGACAATCCAGAGAGGAAAGCGGCGCGCAGTCGCCTCTTCCCTGGGGCATCACGGAGACTAGGGATGCTGCGGGCGCGGCGAAAGGACAGTGACGGGAGAGGGCATAGCTGCGGCAAAGGACCCGTGGGCTCCGGGACTGGCGCCAGGCTAGAGAGCAGGCCTCTCGTCTGGGAGCTCCGCCTGGAGCCGCAGCTCGCCTCTCCGGGAGGTCAGTGCGTCAGACTCAGTTTCTTGGGCTGTCCCAGAGACGGAACCTGGGGCTTCAGAACTAAAGGCAGCAGCGCCTTGCTTCGCGGTCGGACGGCCTTCCAGAGCACCGTCCCGGGCCGGAAGTCGCCCAGCTGCCGCTTCCTCACGCGAAGGCGTGGTGCGGGGTTGGCGGTCCGGCCGGATGGGCAGTTGAGGAGGAAGCGGAGCAGCCGCGGGGACTTTCTTTCAGGCGGCGAGGCCGCGGAGGGCGCGGGGTGGAGGGTACGAGCGCGCGGAAAGGAATGAAGAACGCACCTGGCAGCTGAGGATCGTGGCCGTTTCTAGAGGCGCCTGAGCCGCGTGCGCAGGCGTGGAGCGTCCGGGCGGGGGCGGGCCCTTAAAGGGGCCGCAGCGGAGGATCCGGGAGTCCGCGGAGAACCCGGGGTACCCAGGGGTGGGGGTGGCCGAGGATCGTGCGGTTGCACGGATCCCCTCAATATCCCTGCCCCGGGTGGTGACCAGGCCCCGAGTAGAGCCGCCCTCGGAACCCAGTCTGTGGGCCGGCCCTGTGATCAATCCCCAGTTTAAGCGCGTCTCCCCGTCTCCAGCCCGCGGCGCTATGGCTCACGTCGGCTCTCGCAAGCGCTCGAGGAGTCGCAGCCGGTCCCGGGGGCGAGGGTCGGAAAAGAAAAGGAAGAAGAGCAGTAAGGACGCCCCGAGAAGCTGCTCGGCTTCTAGATCCCGAAGCCGCAAGGCCAGCACCACCTCCTCTGGGGCGGAGGGTGAGAACCAGAGGGAATGGGAAAGGGGTGAGGGAACTTCATGGAGGAAGTTGCAGGCAGCTGGGCGGGCTTCTCCGGACTGGCTGTGGGGAAATCGTGGTGAGCGCTATTCAGAGGCACACGAGTGTAGATCCTGGATATCTGGATTGAAAGACGCTCAGAATCCAGGGGCTGGGCCAGCCCATTGAGTACGGAGTGAAGGGAGCACTTAATCATATTTTTGGTGCAGCTGGGTTTGAGATAGGGAGGCTGGCCGCCCTGCTCCTAGGCAGTGACTGCGCAGCCCAGAAAGTGCCTCTCCACAGGGTGCAGAGACCTCCTCTAGAAAGCCCTGCCAGGAGGGTCTCAGCCCTCTGTAGTCAGCCTAAGCCTGCTACAGGCCAGAGCAAGGGGACGAAGGTTTACTTCTTCGCCTCCTGGCCTTCCAGCCTCACCTTCTCCCTGCGTCACAGAGAGAAGCAAACACAAGGCCCGGAGGAGACCACGATCCAGCCCCTCCTCCTCTCCTTCCAGTTCTTCCAGCTGCTCTTCCTCCAGCGATGGCCGGAAGAAGCGGGGGAAGCACAAGGACAAGAAGAGGAAGAAAAAGAAGAAAAGGAAGAAGAAGCTGAAGAAGAGGGACAAGGATAAGGCCAAGGTGCAGCAGACCGAGGCTCTGCCCGGACCCTCGCTGGACCAGTGGCACAGAGCAGCCGAGGAGGACGAGGACGGCCCAGGTACAGTGCTGCCTGGTGTGCAAGGCAGGGAGGGTCCCCTCCCTGAGGCCCCCATTCCTGAGCCCCGCCCCCCGCCACCTCCCTGCCATCTTACCTTCCAGTCCTGACGGACGAGCAGAAGTCCCGCATCCAAGCCATGAAGCCCATGACCAAGGAGGAGTGGGATGCCCGGCAGAGCGTCATCCGCAAGGTGGTGGACCCGGAGACAGGACGCACCAGGTGGGAAGCCGGGCCCCACGGCGGCACCTGGGCGCCCTGGTCCCAGACCGGCACTCAGGAGGAGAGGTGGTGGCAGCTTCTGCTGCTCTAAAAGGACCGAGGATGAGGGAGAAAAAGGAGTCACTCGTTGATGGGACTTCTCAGGCCATTGCTGCCCATTCCTCAGAGCAGGCGACTGCAGGGGCTGGAAGGGCCTTGGGCGGGGGTCTTCAAAGAGCCGCTGTTGGCTGGTCCGATGGCAGAGCCCACCGGGCCGCCCTCATCCTTGTCCCAAGGGTGGGAGGGAGGGGTGGGAGCGGCCAGGCTCCGCCTACTCGAGATGGTGGGGGCCTGAGGCCTGGCACCCCTCTGCTGGATGCTTCTGGTTCTGTTGCTCTGGCCTCTAAGTTAGAGGCTCAGCCTCCCTCCCCTCCTCTAGGCTCATTAAGGGAGACGGTGAGGTCTTAGAGGAAATCGTAACCAAGGAACGACACAGAGAGATCAACAAGGTGGGTGTCGCCCCCTTGCCCAGGCCCACCCCCAGCTCTGCTTCTGATGTGTCCCCTCCTGTGTGCTTTCTTCCCCAGCAAGCCACCCGAGGGGATGGTCTGGCCTTCCAGATGCGAGCAGGGCTGCTGCCCTGAGGGCCCCACTGGCCAAGGCCTGCACACAGTGTTGGTGGCACAGCCTGAAGGCTGGCCTTAGGGTGGGGAGCAGGGAGCCCGATGGACGCTGCTTGTCTCTCTCCTGCAGACCGGCCTCTGGCCCAGCCTCCTGTCACATGCAGGGGGTGGAGGGCAGGGTCACTGGCCTAACTGGCTCCCCTAACTCCTGAAAGAGTGCAGCTTCCCAGATATTAAACGTACCCTGGTTGGAGACTTCTGTGCTGTTGCTTTTTGTGCTGAGGAGGGGAGGGGAGAAGAGTGCAGCCCTACTTCCAGGGCAAAAATAAGGACTCCAGGAGCTTTTGGGGAAAGGACAGGCCACGTCAGCCACCTTTGCCCTCCTCACCCTCAGATGAGGTCCTGTCTGGACCAGACCCAGGGCTCCACCTCCAGCTGCATCCCAGACCCTTGGCTCTTACACTGGATTTCCTCAGGCTTGGAGGGAGGCTGCTGCCCTCGCTGCTTGTGCCACAGACGACGCAGTTGAGAATTCTGGTGGCCCGGGAGGAATCCTGGCCCAGCTTACTGGCTGTGTCCTCTGTGAAGCAGAGGCTGACAGGCTCCCTGGCTGGGTTGCTTTGAGGACCAACTGAGTTCATGCCTGGGAAAGGGCTGGAAGGGGCTGCAAGGGGGCCCAGCATAGGTAAGACCCACGTGAGTGTACTGGTATTACTGTGAGTGTAGCTGACACTGTGTACTGGGAAGGACAGCCTCTCCCCTCACAGGACAGGCTGGGCCCCCATCCCGGCCCCCGCACCCCACCCCCCACCCCGGGGCTCTGGTTGCCGGCGCAGTACTGAGACCCAGAAGGAAGCCTTCCTGCTTCTTTAATTGGTGTAACAGACGACGACACAGTACACAGAGCACACTCAGGCCTGATGGAGCAGGGACAGCAAGGGCGGGCGAGGGCAAGTCAGGACACCACTCACATTCGGTCCAGACAGACGGGGCTGAGACGTGAAGACTGCGACGTGGCGGGTGGGCGGGCAGGTAGCTCAGACTGAGCTAGGAAGGGGGCGTGGGGTCTCTGCTGAATCCCTCTTTAGAAATCAAAGAGAAGGCAGGTGGGGGGATCTGGGGGGGTGCGGGCTGAGGCTCAGTCCTGGGGGCTTGGGGGTGGGAGTGGGACTAAGGCTTCTACTCTAACAGGCCTGGGGTGGGGTGGCAGTCAGCAAGGCCTGCTTCACCCTTTGGTTACGACTGGTCGGGCCTGAGCCCTGCAGCTCAGCACCCAATGCTGTAAACATTTTTGGTATTTTTAAAGGACTCTGTCCTCCCTCTCTTAGTTTCTGAAAAAACTGGTGCTTCCTTAAGAGGATAATGTGCCGAAAGGAATCTTCAGGTAGGCCAGGAAGCAGACCTGGATAGAGAAGACAGACGTCACCAGGGAGGCTGGGCTGCCCACCTCACCATCTATGGCTGAGGGCCGCTGGGAGAGGCCCGGGGACTATTGCTGTTGTCCTTGGCATGGCTGGCGGCTGGGCAGGCAGGCGGGGAGCTCGGAGCCGTGGGGGAGCTGCCCGCTGGGAGAGACCGAGCCCACTGCCCACCCGGCCTCCTGGGGCCAGGTGGCCTCCCGGCCTTTATTGCAGGCGGGCTGAGACTCTTCCAGGTGCTCCTGTGGATGGCTGCTCACCGGGCGACAGGCGAGATGGGGTGACGTGGGACCGACAGGAGGTGGCACTGGCCACGGGGGGCCCTCATCAGGGCTGTGATTGTCGGGCCAAGCGATTCCCGCTGGGAGCAAGGGGTTAGATATTGCACTTTCACTGCAACAGTTACATTAAAACTTGGTCCATAAAATAATCGTCGCTTTATACATAATGCCTGAAACAACAACAAAAAGCTACATCTTAAATATGAATAAACCCTGAAGGTCCCATCCCTCCAGACATTTTTCGCTGCACAAAATAAATAGCTTTCACTCTGTACAGACCCACTTTTGCAGAACATTTACACGACCCTTTGGCTGTACATATCTACACACGGGAAAATGTTAACATCCGTCTGCGCGCCTCCCCGTCCCAGCCCACGAGGCCCTGAGGCCGTATCCAGGTTGGCAGCAGCTTCGCATAGAAGGAGCCTGGTCGCTGGACGGCTGGCTGAGGCCTGGCAGGCTCCCCCGTCTCAGAGCAGGTAGAGCAGCAGCGGAGGGGCTGCCGGGGCTGAGGCCACGGCTGAGATTGCCGTCGGTTCCGGGGAGGGAGGGCTGACGCTCAGCCCCAGCGCGCAGGACAGCGCGGTCCTTACCAGGTGGGAAGTGAAGCCCTGGCTGCCTGCCCTGAAGCTAACTAAGCGAGCTGTGGCTTCTTGGATTCGGCATCGAAACGGAATTGGCGTTAAAAAAACCTACGTGTGTGCCCCACTCACCCCAGAGTAGAAATTCAGTGGAATTAACGGGGGTCAAGCAAGGCAGGGAGCCCACGCCCCGCTGCCTGGGCAGGGGACAGGGCCCTGGGACCCAGAACCAGGCTGGACTCCGTCACAGTGCTGGGCGTTTTCATGTGGAGGGGCTGCGTTTGGTACTGAAAGAGTTAAGAAAAGGAAGCAGCCAAGGATTGCTCATTTAAAAAAACCTCATAGAAATCAGATTGGAGAAGTAGAAAGGTGTAGAAACGTGGAAGGGGGGCCGAGGCGCGGGGCCTTGGCTGACGGCTGGCGAGGAGCGGAAGAAGTAAGCCCGGCTGGTCCCGGCCCCACGGCCCGAGGCGAGGCTTCTCAGGAGCCGGCCTGGCGGCCTGGGCTGTGCCTGAGGCTGAGATGACGCCAGGCCCTTGGCTGGACGGGGCTCCCGGTGGGGCAGCTGGAAGGGGTTGGGAGTCCGGGGCTGCCATGGGCCAGGCGGAGCTGCAGAAAATACCATATGGCCTTTCTCTCCTACTTGTACCAGGATTCTCTGCCCTGGAGCCTTCTGTGTGGCGACGGGTCCTGGATCAGCAAACGCTGAATTTTCACGCACATCAACGGATCTGTAGCCATAGGAGATGGTGATGGGTCTCCACCCTCAAACTTCAGTGCAAAACCAGTGAGGTCGAGCAGTTGAGTAACTCGAGTTAACAAGAAGCAGGCTGTCCCCCGTTGGAGCTGCTACCAAGTGGGAGGGGACTTGGGGGTCGGGGCGAGCTAGTGGACGGAGGTGCCCAGACCTGGCATCAGGATGCTGGGCGGTCAACGCAGGGCAAGCGTCCGGGAGTGCCTTCCCGGCCAGTCCACGCTGGGGGGGGGGGGGTCCTGGTCCCTCCGTCATCCTCGGGCTGGTCGTCCTGCCAGCTTCCACGATACGCTGCAACCCCGCAGACCCTAACACGTGAGGCAGGGCTGGAAGGGCTGTGTGTGGCACGGCCCCGTGTCCTCCGCCGGGCCCTGGGACAAGCTGGGCCCCAGCCGACTGTCCGTGCCCAGGCCAGGCCTCCTGGCAGGGCGGGCCGCCCCGGCCTAGCACCATGGAGACCACAGCGCCTTGCTCCCGGAGCCCTACTTGGGGCCCGCAGCTGTCCCCGGCTCGGGCCGGCCCGCCATGGCGCGGCCCCAGCAGCCGGCCGCCATGCTCATACTACGTTGTCCCCGCTGCTCGCTGTCCGCTTGGCTCTGCGTCCGCTCGTGCCGGTGGCCGGGCCCGCTAGGCTGGGCCGAGATGGTGCGGAGCAGGTGGTTCCGGGAGCGCAGGAAGTCGCCCTGGCCAGGCAGGCCGAAGCTGCCCTTGCGCAGCGCCATGCGGGTGGCCGCGTTGCGGGCCGGGCGAGCCCGGTGGTTATACTTGAGCTGGGCCAGGTGGGCCGCGTAGCCATCGGTGATGAACTGCGGGGGAGGGAAGGCAACGCGAAGCATGGCTGTCAGGGGGCGGGGCTCCCGGGGCTGCCCGCCCGCCAGCCATGACGCGTCTGCTCACCTGGCACTGCTGCTGCAGCTTCTTGGTGGGCCGGCCCACGATGTAGATCTGCATGGGGGACAGGCTGATGGAGCTGTAGACCGCCACGTCCTTGGTGGAGCCGTAGGCCGCGTGCACGCGCAGGTGCAGCTGTGGGTAAGACGGGCGTGGGCGCGGGCTCGGCCCTTCCGCCCGTCCCCACCCCACTCCCTTCTAGCCGGGACCCACCTCAGAGATGAGCAGCTTCAGGAAGTTGGCCTTGTGCCTCAGCGGGTCGTGCACCAGGCCGTCACAGAAGGACACCACGCCGTGAGGGAAGTTGTGCTGGGCCAGCCATGCCACCACCCGCTGCTTCTGCATGTCAGGCCGGCCCGTCACATAGATGATGAGGTAGCCCAGGTCCTGCCAGTGCCTGGGGGCGAGGGGCAGGCCTGGGTGTCCCACGGATGCACTGTCCTCCCTCCTGGGCCGCCCAGCCAGTCCCCACGGGGGCCACTAAAGAGCGCCTCTCGGGTCAGGGGCCGACAATGGCGGCAGCAGCCGGACTGACAGCAGCGCGGTGCTCGCGGCCCCCACCCCCGCCCTGCAGCAGGTGTAACTGGTCTTGTTAGAAGCAGCCCCGCTCCCCAGGTAAGGGAACTGAGGCATCAACAGCAAGAGGTTACAGCTGGGAGGTGTGACCCAGCTGCGGGGTCCCTGCCCCATGTCCCAGCTCTGGCACCCAGGGCCCTCCGCCGCCTGGCCGTGGAGCTGCCTGCCTCCGAGCCCACCCGCTGCTGCTCGGAGCGCTCACCGCACCACGTCCACGGCCCCGGCCCGCACTTTGGGGTCGCTGCCCATGATGGACACGCTGGCGGCGAAGGAGCCGTCGATGCTGAAGACCACGAACTCCGTGCCCTTGGGCAGCACGGTGATGTAGCTGTCGGCAAACGTGTGGTCTCCCCTGGGAGGGGGCAGCTCATCAGAACCCACCAGGGCTCCTTCCTCCCGCCCCCGAACGAGGCTGACCCGGCCTGCTCACTCCTTGGAGCTCATACCTGACCACCATCTTGACGGGGTAGACACCCACGCCCAGGCGGTGGGTCTCGGGGATGGTGTAGGAGACGCGCCCGCTGCTGTTGGTCACCAGCGTGTCCAGGTACAGCCACTCACCTGAGGGCGGCTGCATCATGATGTGCACGTCCACCTGGAGCCGGGAGGGCTGGTCGTGGCTGGGCCGCGCCCTTGGCCTCCCCACCCCCACTTCCCACCCCCCAGCCAGAGGGAGGCGAGGTGGGGGGCTCCCGCGGGCTCCCTGTGTCTTTACCTTCTCCCCGGTCAGGGTGACCATGTCCAGGGGCCCATACATGAACCGGCCTGTCAGGACCTGAGGGCCATCCTCGTTGGCGACCGCGTCATTGATCCGGTGATTGGCCGTCACGTTCTGGGGGGAGGAGAAGCAAAGCTGGGTCAGGGCTGGGGATGGAGGGGCGGCTGCGGCCTCCTGGGCTCAGCTCAAGCTTCCCACGGGCCTGGGGCGTGAGTACGGGTGCAAAGCCCGATGACCCAGCTCAGCCACTGAGCTACGTGGCCTTGGCGCTGGTCCCCGTCTGTAAATGGGGTAACAGCTCCAACCCCAGACTGTGACGATTAAGTAAGACAGCACACTTCTCTGTGACTCAGTTTCCTCATCTGTAAAATGGGGTCTTCTCGCGCGGATTCACTAGGACGACAGCTGTGGGGCCTGGGCACTCAGAGGACCCCTCACCCGCAGCTTCACGTGGGTCCTCTTGCGCTGCCACTTCTCTCTCGGCTTTGACGGGGTGAACACCGAGACCTCCTTGCCGTCCAGTTCCAAGATGCTGGAGTTGTCGTGCCTCATGACCTGGGAGGGGACACAGAGGGAGGCCATGGGGCAGGCTCAAGCCTGGGGCTTCCTGTTCTAGAGGGGAGAGGCCAGCGGCCCTAGGGGCCACACTACCCATGGGAGGGTTTGGCGGGGGGCAGTATTTGACCCCACTGCAGTCTGCTCTCTGGCCTGTTAGGGTGCACATCCATTCACCCCATCTCAACATCCCCACGGCTTCCTCCATCCTGCTGGTTGTGGCATCTGCTGGGGCCAGAAAGTGGGGCTCCCCACCGTCCTCATCTATGAAATGGGGCCACCTCAGCAGCGGTGTCAGTCGGGCCTCCTGAGAGGTGCAGGTGTGCCCGGCAGCGGGACCCTGGGTACCTGTCTCAGCAGGAAGGAGACCACATCCGTGGACTCCCAGTAGCTGGCGTGGAAGAGGTGGGGCAGGGCCACGGTGGGGAAGGCCGTCAGGGCGTCGGGGCAGTACAGGGCGTAGTCGATCCGCTTCTGACCCCACCACTTCGCCGCAACTGCCAAGAGGAGGGGCTGTGACTGGGCTGGGCCCCAGGGGCTCACCTGGCCCCTCAGGCCGGGCGCAGCCCAAAGGCAAGACCCTCCTCTGACCAGAGAGAAGGGCTGCAGCCAAGGCAAGTCTCCTCCTCCCAGGCTCGGCGCCGGGAGCAGCAAGCAGCCAGGGCGCCTGAGGAGCGGGAGGTGGGGGACTGCGGCTCGGCCGGGAGGATGTGGAGATACAGGGCGAGGGGACACGCCCAGTCCGGAGGCAGGACGCCCTGGCCCTAGTCCTGTCCACCCCCCGCCTTGGGCCTTATCACTGCCCTCTCCAGGCTTCTCCTGGACCCCCTGTCTGCCCCCGCAGGCCTCAAGGATGTGCGAGGCTTTGCAGAGATGGAGTCACGATTCCTGGGCCCCAAGGCAAGGCCCGCTGTCCTCAGCACCTGGCAGGCAGGGTGTGAAGTGAGGGCCTTCAGTCTACAGAGCCTGCGCGTGAAGCCGGCTCCCCCTCCAGGCTCGGGGACCGCCCAGGTTTGCAAAAGCCTCCTGGGTGACTGCAGGAGGTGCACCTGGTTAGGCTCGGGGTGGCCCTGCTCTCCGCCTGCAGCCTGCCTGACGAGCAACCCCCAGCCCTCACCCGGCCTCCATCCAGCCGCCCCCCCCAACCCCCCGCTGCTCCTGCTTCCTCCCTGGAAGTCTGGGTGCTCCCAGACCAAGCCACCAGCTCCCCGCTAGGCCTCAGCGGGGCCCGGGGGTGAGGCGTGCCTGGAAACGGAGCGTGACCCCAGTTAGAGAAGGCGACGTGTGTGCATGGAGGGCTGTGACGCCCGGGACCTTCTCTGATGTCCAAGTTGGGGAGGCGGGGGCCCTCCCCAGGCTGGGGCTCGCCTGCTGGCCCAGGGCGGTGGGCGGTAGTGGGGGAGGGCAAGCAGGGACGGGCACCTGACGCTGGGGCTGTGGCTAAGCGGTGCACAAGCTCAGCCCTGCTGGGGCCGCCACTGCCCCCGCGGGCCAGGAGGACACCCACGCCGGCCTTAGCCCCGGAGCCCTGCTCTGACAGGCAGCCTGGGAGCCAGTCACGTGGCAGGGGGCCGCTGGCCCCGGGGGAGTGTGTGTGTGGGGTGACCCGGACTCCGCTTCCAGCTGCTGAGAAGCTTCTGAGATGGGCAGGAGCGAAGGAGGCTGTGGGTGACTCTGCCCCCTGGGGCGGCAGGAGGGGCTGGCACAGGAGACCTCGCCTCCCTGGCTCCCCTCGGCCACCGCTGCAGCTTCTCCAGAAATGGGCCCCCCAGCTTTCTCCTTCAAGGAGCACCTGCCCCCCTGGGGCTAGGACCCCTCCTCCCAGACCCACCCACCCCCAGCTGAGACAGCACCACCCATCTCCCACCACCTGCACCTGCCCCCCCCACCATGCCCTGCCCCAGGGCCACCCCTTTCAACGTTCCTTCCTTGCAGAGTCCTCTATGGACACGGGGGCTGGATCACTCTTCGCCGCGGGGCCGTCCTGGGCACCGTACAGTGTTGAGCAGCATACCTGGTCTCCACCCACCAGATGCCAGTGGCGCCCACCCCAGTTGCCTCCAGACGCTGCAAACTGTCCTCTGGGGGACGGGCACAGTGGCCGCCATTGAGACTGGCTGCGACAGGGCACAGCCCCCTTGCTGTGACGGGGAGGGCAGGCCCGGCACTGCTGCACTCACTCTGGGCAATGCTGGACGCCGTGTAGCTCTCAGCCATGCCCGACACCTGGCTGGCGATGCTGATCTCGCTGGCCCGGCGGAAACCTCGGGCAGTGGGGGCTGTGCCGGGCGAGGAGGGGGCCGCGTGCTCTTGGAAGACCGCGTTGTGGGCCTGGAGTGCATCTGCTGCAGGTGGACAGGGACCAGAGACCGCGGGTAAGGAGGCCTCGCCCAGCCCGGCCCTCCAGCCCCCGAGCAGTGGGAGGGGGCGTCCAGCATGTGCCGGGGCTGGGGCAGCCAGAGTGGCCACTGTGCCAGACAAGGCCGACACGTCCAGCTGCAGAGGAGCAGGGGTATCTGAGCACAGCTGGCAGAGAGGATGGGCCCGAGCATGCCAGGGCCAGCCTGCTCAGGGCCCAGAGCTGAGGCAGAGAGAAGGGAGCGCTGGGGCAGGGGTGGACAGACGGACCAATACAGACACAGTGGGCAGGGAGGCAAGGCGGCCGGGCTCATGCCCCACACTGGCCACGGCCACCCTTCCAGTCCAGCCATCTTGGCCTCTGGGGCTCGGCCTGGCCTGGCCTGACCCACAGCCCGCGGCAGCTGGCTTTGGGGGCGCTAACAACAGGGCCCTGGGGCAGCTTCCCAGGGATGCCCAGCGCTGAGGAGTGAGAATGAGGCAACACCCCCTGCACGTGCCTCACACACGGGTCACATCGAGCCAGCCGTGAATGGGCATCTGGGGACAAAGGCAGGGGCTGAGGGCTCGAGCCAGGCTCACCTGGGTCCAGCCTGAGAACGGGGCTCGGTTACAGGACCCACATCTAGACGGGGTGCAGGAGATGCCTGGACCTCCTCAGGAAGAGGGAGTGGGGCCTTGAGAATCCAAGCCCTCGCCAGGACCGAAGTCTTCTCCTGGGGGTCAGGTGGGTCCCAGCGGGCTCGAGGCCTCACCCCAACTCCTGCTGCTAGCCTCACAAACAGGGGAGAGAACCCTCGGACTGACACCTGTGCTGGGTGACCCTGAGGCAGCTGCTCCCCTCTCTGGGCTCATGCACCTCCTCTGCTTCGGGTCCCCTCCCTGCTCTGCCTAGTGTCCAGAGAGGGGGCACCAAGCCTGCTCCCAGGGCCTGTCCTGCCTGGTCTCTGCTTCTCGCCACCACAGTTCCACAAATTCCGGGTAGTCAAGGAGGGCACGGGGGTCCCTGAGGACCAGCGGTCAGCTGGTGAAGCAGACGCCACCACGAGCACGGGGGTTACACACACTCAGCAGAGCTCGGGCTGGGGTGGGGCCCGTCTCGCTAGGTGACTGTGAGAACGGGGTACTGGTCTCCAGGAAGCCATCCCTGTGAGGGAGGGGGACCAGGGGGCCGCCCTCCAGGACCAGCTGGGGGCTTCTCTGCACGGTCTGGACTGGAGGCATATGGGGAGAGAAGAGGGGACACAAGAATAGACACTTGTGTGCACGTGACACAGACACGCGCCGCTCCTCAAGAGCCAGGACGTGACAGGACTAGGACACGGGGGCAGGTGGGACGGGCCGTTCCCGGGGGGCGAGAGTGGGTCACGGGCAACCCCCTCTCGTGCTCCTGCACCCCAGCTTCAGGCTAGGTGACCTGGAGGCTCCGGAGCTGTCTGCCACGGGGTCCCTTCCAGGGCAGGACAATGCCCGGGACTCAGCCAGGGGCCCTCAGGTCCTCAGGTCTGCCTTGGCAGGGTGGTGGGGCGGGGAGCAAGGTCCCTAGCTGTGTGTGTGTGTGTGTGTGTGTGTGTGTGTGTGTGTGTGTGGCGGGGAGCAAGGTCCCTAGCTGTGTGTGTGTGTGTGTGTGTGTGTGTGTGGGGGTGTGGGGGGGGGAGGCCCTGGCCTGTGAGGCTGTCTCCCTCCTACCTCCCTGGGGTGGGTGGGCTAATGCACCCGCACCTATACCAGGTGACCCGCTTCCAAGGTGTTCAGTGCAGGACGCCCCTCCCCGCCCGGCAGGGCCAGCCCCGGCCTGGGGCACCCAAGGAGAGGGGACACGTCCCACCCTCCCCGAAGGCCGGGGGCCCATGGGGCTCTCACCCAGCAGCGTCGAGCAGCCGTCCCCCAGCGGGTAGCGCTGGTAGCGGGGGATGCTGAGAGGCGGCAGGGCGTGGAATCGCCGCTCCAGCAGCGGCTCCAGGCGCGAGGCCGACGGGTCGGCGGGGTGGAAGAGGTTGTAGACTTGCTGGCAGGCAGGCCGCAGCTGGAAAACTGGGGGGCGGAGTGGGGGCGGAGTCGCAGAGCCTGGAGCTAGCTCCGCCCTCAGGAGGCGGGGCCTAGAGCAGGCTGGGATTGGGTGCAGTGCGACGGGACGGGGTTGGGGATACAGAGAAACCCGAAAGTGTGTCTCTATCAAATTTGGGATTCTGTTTGGGCCACTGTCCCTTTATTAACCAAATTTGTTTTAATTGAAAAAGTTATAATGACGGTGGTTAAAAAAATTTCTTTTTAAGCACAGAAATATATATGATAAAAGACATATAACGGAGGGTCTCCTTTCTCCCCAGAGCCCCGGGGCTGGCGCCCCACCTGCAACTTTTGGGAGCCTCACGCGCATGCGCGGCCTGAGCCGGGTAGAGCTATCCTCCGCTATTAGAAATGTCTCTAGGCTGTGCGATGGGGCTGGGCTTTCGAACATCTCATAGTTGATGGGAAGATCACGTGAATGTCATTATAAACTATCAGTAACCTATATCTCACTTTAAAAAATACATACAAATAGGAACATAATCTATGCTTTTTGAACATAATCTATGCTTTTTTTTCATTTAACACAATAAATGGGAGTCTTTCGTATCAGCACTCTAGTTCCGCCCCATTCTTTTTAACTGCGGCGGGGTATTCCACTGTATGGCTGTGCCGCGATTGATTTAACCGGCTCGCATCCCATTTAGGTTGGTTCTGGTTTTTCACCCTTACAGATGACGTTGCCCTAACATCAGTGTCTCTGAGCTGTGCGCTCATACCGAAGGCACTGTTTACTTGCTCTTGGGCAAGTGTCTACGCCTGCCTCTCCGAGCCTCAGTTTCCCGCTGGGGCCCCTGCACAGCTCCTGTAGGATGGCAGTTCTCCCTGGACCACACTCGTTGATCCCAGGGGCACTGGGCAGGGACTGCCGCTCTGACGGCTGCTTAGCCCACAGGTTCTGTCTCCCTGTGTGTGTAGCCATGAGGAGGAACCTGGAGCAGCGTGGCTGTGGTCCCTCTGGGGCTGGGAGGCCACCCGATCGAGGAGACTTTGGGGGTGCCTGGTTTCACATCTCTTCCTTATGGGAAGACCTTGGGCCTGGGAGACTGGGTCTGGCCCCATCTGACCCTGGGGCAGCCCCTTCCATCTCTGGACCTCAGCTCCCAGAGGTGCCTTGGAGATTAAACGAAACAGCGTGCTGGGAAATGGGGCCAGGGACTGAGCTGCTGAAGCTGGAGCAAAGGAGAGCAATGGGTCCTTGGTGGGGGGTGCAGAAAAGAGGAGGAAGGGGCCTGGGAGGTGGCCATGGCCTCATGACAGGGGTCCACTGAGACCCTCTGCCCAGCTCATGCCCACTCCCCCCACCCCCCCGCCTCACTCCTCCCCTGCAGGGACTCTCACCATCCAGGGAGGGGATGACAGTCTTCCTCAAGGCCAGGACCAGCCCCAGCGGGCACCCGAAGAGGAAGAGGTCAGCGATCTCGAAGTCGAACTTGCCCACGGCCCCTGCGCCGTCCAGCATGGTGGAGCTGCTTGAGTGGCGGGAGCTGGGCTCATTCCTCAGCACGCTGGCGTGGAGGCTGCAGATGCCGGGGGACGAATGAGGTCACACCACAGCCCTTCTCGGGGCTGGCCTGTCCTTAGCCTCCTGAAAGAGGCTCCTCAGGGGTCATCAGGCCCAAACGAGGCTTGGCCCCTGTGTGGTCCTGTGAGTGCAGCTGTCCAGCACCTGCTGGGACACCTCCAGTGACAGCAGGTCCCAACCTCTCTAGGGAGCCCACCGCCTTTGGGACAGCCCTGACCAGGATCACACCACCAGTTCTGCTGGTCAGTTCTGCTCCCTGATTCTGCCATCCTCACTTCCAGCCCTGGTCAATCTGTTCCCTCTGACTCAAGATGGCCCAAGGCATGTACAAGACCACAGCCGTACCCAACAAGCACCTTCTCCCGGCTGAAGAGCCGTGGCCCAGTCTGGGGATCACAGGACAAGGGCCGGGGGGCCTCCAGCACCCTCTTATCCATGTTCTCACTTCTGAGCCGTCCCTCTGTCTTAGAGTCCCCGACCTCACCTGGCGGCGGGCCTCACTACCCACCTGGACAGGAAGGCCTGGTGCTGCTGGATGGTGTCCAGCTCGTAGGTGGATGAGTCACTCCTCTTGCGGGGCAGCTGCTGTTTGGGGTCCTCAGCGCCGTTGCTCCGGGGGATGTCGATGTTGCTGCGGCTCAGGTGCCGGCTGCTCTCCAGGGTTCCGCCATGTGCCGCATTGACCGTCGTGCCCGGGGACAGCAGGTCAGTGTCCTGGAACGGCCCCATGCAGGCTCACTGCCCGGTGGCCACTGGCCTGGCCCCCTCTTCAGTGTCCTGGAAGCCATGTCTGCCCTCCTGACTCCAGGCCCACTGGCCACTGCTCAGCGGCCTCTCACCCAAGCCAGCGAGGGAAAAGCCCTGTCCCTCTGTGCCCCACGGTCCCCCCCAGCCTTCACTCCTGGCCTGGCCTGCCCACGTGGGCCTTGCTGATCTCCCACTGATCCCGCTGCCTCGCCCGGCCTGCCAGGCCATTTGCTAGTCTGCAGCAGAGGGACCTTGGGTGCTGTCTCCTACTGGGAAGCTCAGAGGATCCACCCCCCAGGACCAGAGCCTGCTCCCCACAGTGCAGACCCTGCTTCACCGCCTGCTGAAGCTGCCGTGCTCCTAGGCTGAGCCGCGCCGCAGCTGTCCACCTGTCCCACGCATCCACCCCCTGCCTTTAGGCACCTGCGTTAGCAACCTCTGCCCTTCCCTTTTTCCGCAGGCCTCTGGGACGTTTGCAGCCAGAGGGTGACCGTCCTCAACCTGGAGGTCCCCTGCTCCGGGGGGCTGGGGGAAGCTAGTACCTGCACACTGGCCACACTGCCCCGGCGGCTGCTGCTCTGACTCTCAGACACCGTCTGGTTGCTGCAGCATAAGGCATCGAACGCCAGGATGCCCCCAACGCAGTCCCCGATCAGGCAGACCTGGAGGGGGAGAGGCTCAGGGGCCTGAGAGCCCGCCCTGCTTGTTGGAGGGCTGGCTGGGGAGAGCCCTGGCCTGGAGGACCAGGCCAGCCCACCCTGCAGGGTTTCTGTCTTCCCTTCCCCCACCCCACAACTCACCTGCCCGTTGAAGGTCATGCCCTCCTGGGACTTGATGAAGTCCCCGTAGGCGAGGTTGGCCCGCTGGATCACTGTGGCAACGGCCTCCTGGTAGTGGGGCGAAGAGGTTGCCAGCAGGGGCAGGGCGGCCAAGGGGATGTGGTCCTGGCTGCTGGACAGACAGCCTTCGTCGTGGCTGTAGGGGCTGAGGCTGGGGGCGGGAGACCGGTCAGGAGAGAGCAGGTGGCCTCAGCTCAGCCCAGTGGGCCCCTCTTCCCTGACCCGAGCATCAGAGCAGGAGCTGCCTGACACCCTGAGAGCCTCAGCCCTGACTTGGCAAACCTCGTGGGGATGCTTCCAGGCCAGGCATGGGGAACAGGGCCGGGGAGTAAGGCCAGTATGTCAGAGGCAGGTCAGCATCCCCACATTACAGATGCAGAAACAGGCTCAGCTCTGGGCCCCGGCCCCTCCAGGACTCTAGGCTCAGCCGTCTGCGTAGGTTGTGCCGTCTCCCGGCAGAACAGGCTAGACGGCGGGTTTGGACGTCGGCACTGTGGTCCCAGTACTGCGGCTGGGGTGGGGGTGGGGTGTCTCCTGACCCTTAGGGCCAGGGGAGGGGCAGGTGGCAGCGAGCCTGGGCACTCACTCGGAGACGAGGGCGAAGGCAGCGGAGCAGATGGGCGGGCAGGGCACCAGGCGGATGGCCAGGTGGCCCAGGGCGCTGGGGTAGTGCACGCGCATGACGGTGTCGAACACGGTGGCGATGGTGTTGGTGTCGCCCTGCTTGGAGCCGGGGTCCCCGGCGCCCGTGTCCAGGATGGTGCCTCCGTGCAGCAGCAGCAGCAACACGTGGATCTTGGAGGGCGGCACGGCCAGCGGCGGGCTGACCTCGTCCTGTGCGGGTGGGGGGGGGTGAACTCCCTGGGGACTCGGCTCCTGGCCGAAGCTTCTGTCCTGCTGGGGGGACGCTTGTGGCGGCCCAGTCACTCCCTCTGAGACCCCTTCTCAGTTCCTCTGCTCCAGGGCCTGGTGCCCCTCCCCCGGGGAGGCCCAGCTGCTTCTTCCCCTCCCCTCTGTGTTCAGCCCTGCTCCCTGCCGGCCTGACAGGGGCACAGAGGACAGGGAGGGAGAGGGTCTCTTCCTTCCGAAGCACAACTCCACCTCCCATCTGCGGGCCCAGGCAGGGGCTTCTGGGCTTCCAGCCTTGGGGGGCAGGCAGAGGCTCAGCCCCGTGCGGGCCTTTGGGGCCTGCCTGCCCTCCGTGTGTCTGTGTCCAGACGTCGGTCTGTCACAGGCTCTCTCTTTTTTTAAAAAAAATTTATTTTATTTTATTTATTTACTTTTGGCTGTGCTGGGTCTTCATTGCTGTGCGCAGGTTTTTCTCTGGTTGCCGCAAGCAGGGGCTATGCACGCAGGCTTCGTTGCCCCGCGGCATGTGGGATCTTCCCCGCCCAGGGCTCGAACCCGTGTTCCCTGCATTGGCAGGCGGATTCTTAACCACTGCGCCACCAGGGAAGCCCTCACAGGCTCTCTTAAGAGGGGCTGGGGGGGACTTCCCTGGCGGCGCAGTGGTTGAGAATCCACCTTCCAATGCAGGGGATGCAGGTTCGATCCCTGGTTGGGGAACTAAGATCCCACATGCTGCGGGGCAACTAAGCCCGCGCCACAACTAGAGAGAAGCCTGTGCACCGCACCGAAGACCCAATGCAGCCAAAAACCAAACCAAACCAAACCAATCCAAACCAAAAAAATTCTGAGGCAAGCAATTAAAGAAAAAGAAAGAAAGAAAAAGAGGGGCGGCGGGGGTCAGGGATTCAGATTCAGCTTGGCCGCTCAGCCAGCAGCTCTGAGCTCTCCCTCCATCTACATGGGCCCTCCCCCGCTGCCCCAGGCCCATGGCCCCCAGGCCCTGCCATTCCCAGCCTCTAAGACCAAGGTCCTCAAGAGCAGAGATGTCCTAGAGGTGGCATAACCCCAGCATCTTAGAGTGGGGAGGGCAATGCAGGTGTGTCTATCTGAACCCCCCTCATTTGTGAGGAGTCAGCCCTGCTTATGAAGTCCAAGTGAGACTTACACACATCCACCATGGGAATGGAACTGTTCTATCTAGAGACGAGGTGGCCCAGAGACGACAAGGGACTTGTCTAATATCACACAGTGCATCAGTACCAAGCTGGACTGGAACCCAGAGCTCCTGCCACCAGCTCAGTGCTCTTCTGCTACCCTACCCTAGCCCCATCCCCAGGGGCCTCTCCCCATCCCTGGCTTCGGGTGTGTGACTTCTGGTGTGGGAGGCCAGGGCCAGGGCCCAAGAGAGCCACAGGTGAGTACCTGCCTTGCCCATATTATGTCAGGGGCTGAGGGGGGCGGGGAAGGGAGCTGAAGAGAAGGGCCTGTCCCTACGGAACTCAGGAGCAGAACAAGGGGCTGAAGCCATCTGGAGGGGCCATGGGGGGTCAGCTGGCCCTGAACTGGGCACTGAACCCAGGGACTGGCGAGCCCACCGGGAACGGGTCGGGCTGGGCTGGGAGCCTCTGAGCAGCAGAGGGCTTTGGGCGGGAGGAAGGCTGGTAGGTGGTACTGGGCCTGGGGTGGAGGCAAGGCTGGGCTGCCTCAGTCCCCAAGAGGGGGCTGGTCATCGGCCGGTTGTGGGCCACAGGGCCTGGGCAGGAATGAACTCACGGCCCAAGGCAGGGTGTGGTCACTGGCTGCCCAGAGCACAGGCCAGGATAGAAGCACCAGATGGTCCCAAAGACTGATCAACACAGCCAGGCGAGAGGCTCATGGAAGGCGCGTCTTACAGCACCCTCCCTGCCACCACCACGTGGCCCCTAGTCACCTGGGACGGGCAGGGCTGGGCAGTGCGGGGCTGAGAGAATCCTGCCTGTGCCGGGCTGCTGGGACCCAGCGCTGGAGGCTGGGGACTCTTCAGGGACCCAGGAGGCCGGTCCGAGACACAGCTTTCCTCCCATTCAAACTGCTTTCTACAGGGGCACACCCTGCCTGAGACTCGAACCCCAGTGGGAACAGAGCCATTGGGAGGCGGGGCCTGGGAGCCCACTCTGGAGAGCCAGGGGTCTCCAGCAGTGACTAGGTAAAGCCGTCCTCCTTCCTCGAGCCTGGGAGAAGAGGCTCCGGTTTGGGGACCGTTGCCAGCAAAGGGATCTGACTCTGGATGGCGGTGTCCCAGAACCAGTGCTGGGTCCAAATGCACATCCCCAGGAAGATCCAGAGCCCGAGGCCCCTTCTGCCCCTCCTGGGGGGCCGTCAGAGCTGTGTGCGCCGAAGGCAAGGAGGGGGCTCCGTTTGCTTTATCGCCATTAACCGGCAACTGGGAATCAATTCCCCTCGTTCCAGTTACCCTTCTAGAAAAGCCCGCTTCGACCTCAGACCTCAAAGAGAACCCCAAGAGGAGGAGGGCGGTGCGGATGCACCCCCTCCGCGGTCCAAACTCCCCACGGGTCCTGAGTCCCCAGAGGTGCCGTCTCCACCTCGGGCAGCTAGAGGCCAGAGCAGTGAGGTGACCGCAGTGTGTGACAGCCCCACTCTGCCCCGGCTCCTGCCCCACTGCAAACAGCTCTGACCGCCCACAGGTGGAGGAGGAGAAGGGGCGTGAGCTCCATGCAAAGAACCCCCGAAGCGGACACAAGCGCTCTACCAGGACAGTTTGATTGGACAGTTAGCCTCTTCCCACCCCCGGCGGGGCGGCCACATCACTTCTGCCTAGATGACTTTCGCTTCCTCCCCTTCTATCTTTTTTCCTTCAGGGACTTCAGACAAGCTGAGCACACGGTGAAGATCTGGAATTTACAAGTTTCTCATTTTGCTTTCCAAGGGTGGAGCGGGGTCAAGGCCTTCCTCGGGGGAGCTGTCTGCGGTCCCTACTGGCTCTCAGGGGCATCAGAGGGGCTGGGCCCCAGGCCTCTCTCCAGTGGTGCCCAGGACAGTGTGGACATGATGCTGGGGGAGCCAAGCTCTGCCTCCATGGTCTCCCCCGCGGGACTGGTCCTTTACGCCCTGCTCCCCCGCTGCTGCAGCCCTGGCCCTCTCCACCTGGGCACCCACCTCGATGATGTTCAGCTGCTCCACACTGGAGGCCACCCTGAACTCGGGGGCACTCTGGCGGTACAGACCGTCTGCAACACAGAAGCGGTGGGTGGGTGTGAGCCAAGGGGCAGGCCCAGCGGACAGAGGCTGTGACCGTGACAAGCAGGGCCCGAGGTGTCCCCCCAACCCCCCTGGGTGCTTCGGTGCTCCTCCTTAGGAGGCTGTAACCTGCAGCCCCCAGCTGGTTACCCTGCGTGTCCTCTGGCTCAGGGCTTTCGATTTTGTCCATGAGGTCATTGGAGTTCCACTTGGTGATGTCCTTGGGGAACATTTCCTCTGAGTCGGACAGGTCCTCTGGGGAGGATAGAGAGGGGCTTCAGCACCCTGATCAAGGGCAGGGAGTCAGGGGAGGGGGGCGCTGGGAGGCCTAAGAGTGGTCTCTCTGGGGGCTCCCATGCTTCTCTGGCCCGTGTGGCCCTCCCCACTTGGTTCTATGCTCTCCCTTCCTTAACAGGATGGACACACGGCCACATACTCATGGGGCTTCTGCCTGATGTTTTTCAAAAAATTGTGGTAACTTTCACTTAACATAAAATTCACCATTTTAACCATTTTCAAGTAGCATTTAGTCCATTCGCAATGCTGTGCAACCATGAGCTCTATCTGGTTCCAGAACTTCTCCATCTCCCCCGATGGAAACCTGTACCCATTAGCAGTCATGCCTCATCCCCCGCCTCTCCCAGACCCTGGCAACCACCAGTTGACTTTATGTCCTTATGGATTTGCCTGTTCGGGACATTTCCCATACATGGGATCATACGGTATGTGGTCTTTTTTTTTTTTTTTTTTTGTGGTACGCGGGCCTCTCACTGCTGTGGCCTCTCCCGTTGCGGAGCACAGGCTCCGGACGCACAGGCTCAGCGGCCATGGCTCACGGGCCCAGCCGCTCCGCGGCATGTGGGATCTTCCCGGACCGGGGCACGAACCCGCGTCCCCTGCATCGGCATGCGGACTCTCAACCACTGCGCCACCAGGGAAGCCCCAGTATGTGGTCTTTTGTCTGGCTTCTTCTACTTCCCATGGTGTTTCTAAGTTTGAACCACGTGTCAGTGCCTCATCCGTTTTCATGCTCGAGTCATATTCCATCGTATGGACGGACCACGTCTTGTTTCTCCATGATGTTCCTGACTGTTTTCAATGTCCACAAAACGACAGCTTAGTGAGAAGTGCTGCTATGAACAGTTCCATCCATGACTTTTTTTTTTTCCGCTTTTCTGAGAACTTTCACCCATGACTGCTGGGTAGGAAGCAGCTGTCTGGGCTCTGCCGTGGCTGGTCCCTCCTCTGTGGGTCACTGGGACAGTTTCCCCAGGACACTGCGGCTCTGGCATCTCCTGCTCTGCTGTCTCTTCTCTTTTCCAGCTTTTTCTAAAGTTTCTACATTAGATGTGTCTTTGCCTCATATCAGGGACACAGAGCCGGGGGGGCTCAGCCTCTTGGCCTGGCTGGAGGGCAGTGGGAGTATGGGATGCCCCAAACACCCTCTCTAACCTCAGGGAGGCCCCAGGTGCAGAGGCTGCCTCAGGAACCACCTGCCTCCCTTTCCGGGTCCCCACCCCAGGGCCACATCTGCCTCTGCCCTGCTGTCTGCCTGTGGGCAAGTCCCTGTCCCTTTCTGAGTGCATCCCGCCTTATAAACTGCAAACCTGTCTCCCTGTACCTGCCTGCTGGCCCCCTTACTTCCTCAAGAGGAAAGGCAAGGTACGAAGCGAGGACGTTTGGTAGGTGCATCTCCCCAGCACAGGTGGGTGATTTATCCGGCTGTTTGCTGTGCTTATTCTGGGATTCGCGGGAAAAAGGGTACTTCATGTATTTTCTACTTGTTTGTATTTTCTAAGGTTTCTACATTAGGTGTGTGTTAATTTAATCATGAAAAGATAGTAATTACAAACATTAGAAGATTAGAAGAAGTTATGCTTTTGTAAAGCTTCTTAGGGAATTATTATTATTATTATTTTGGCCACACCGCATGGCTTGCGGGACCTTAGTTCCCTGACCAGGGATTGAACCCGGGGCCATGGCAGTGAGAGCACCGAGTCCTAATCCCTGGACTGCCAGGGAATTCCCTTTGGGAATAAATTCACATATGGAAAAAATGTCACCGTCTGATTTTAAATCCATTTTGGGGGGGTTCGAGAGAACAGTCCCCACCTGCCAGACCCCGTGCACATTGATACCAGGTTAAGGTGAGTGTGAGACCCCAGACTCCTGGTGGCTTCGTCTCATCCTGCCCCTGCCCCCACGTGCTGCTGTTCAGCCAGAACTCTTCACAGGTAATCCCCACCTTGACTTGCATCCCCTGCCGCTCTCTCAGACCCCTCCCCTCCCCCTCTTGGGAAGTCCCGTGTGCTCCAGGGTGCCGCCTACCGTGAGCATCAAAGAACTCATCATCCGAGCTCTCATCTGAGTCCCGGGCGATACTCTGCATCCTCCACTCCGAGATGCTGTGGCGGGAAGGACTCACTGGAAGGCAAAACCCCAGACTGACCGACCACCCAGCAGCACTGGGATAAACGGGCGGAGGCGGGCAGGTGCGATGATGCTGGAGTAGGGCCAGGAGGGCTCAGCAGGGGATGCAATGGAGAAATGAGGGCTCTGACGCATCTCCCAGCCCACCTGGCACAATGCAGTCCTGTCCCGGGAGGACGTGGATGGGGGAGGGTATCAGGTATGAGGCCAGGATGTGCAGTCACCCAGGCTTGGGTCCACTCCTATGCCCTAGACCTGATCTCCTCAGGAGAGCGAGCCCCTTCAACTCTGCCACGGCGGGGCCGACAGACAGGGATGCCCGGCAGGGGCGGGAAGTGAGATTAAAGGTATTGATCCGTGTGTCTCCATGGGTCCCTTCAGCACAGCACAAGCCTGGTGTGGGAAAAGCTGGATTTGCGGAGTGGGTGGGACTCCTGGTGTTTTAGACAAAATACACCGAGTTTCCCCAATAACCACCGCACTTTCAAGTGAGTTCCAGAGAAAGGCCTTTCTGAGTATCCGAAGCCTTTCAGGGTCCTTTGGCCTGGCTGCTCCCTCAGGCGCAGAAGCCTCTCCTGGGTGTGCTGGGTGCAGCGCACCCAGACCCCCCCACCCCGCCTTGGAACCCTGGCTCAGAGCTGCAGCCGGCTGGGTCCCAGGAGGGGCTGGGAGTGGGGATCCCACGTGGCCAGCCTGCCTGTCTCAGCTGGGCTGTGTGGGTGAGTCTGGGTGGGTGAGTCTGGGGGAACCTGCCAGGGTTGGGGCAACGCCCTGGGCTTCACTCCGAGGCGGAGGCTACAAGGAGGTGACTAGTTCTGAGTCCCACAGGTGTGGCCCGCAGGTCCGAAAGCAAGAGTCCACCTTCAGAGTTCGAAGTCCCCGGCAGAGGCACGGGGCTGCCCTGGCAGGGGCAGTTGCCGGGGTGGACGAGCAGAGGGCAGGGACACCCGCGGGGACAGAGTGCGCTCACCTCCCCGCTTGGACGACCGGGACGACTTGGAGGACGTGGACCACTGCTTCTTCAGACCCCTGCCCGCCAGGGGCTCCCCACCGCTGCTGCTGGGCTGCGGGGGCTCCCTGGGGGCCTGGGCCTGGGGGGCCTCGTCCTTGGCCAGCTCCGCGGCCCCCTCGTCGTCCTCACTGAACTGGGCCATCTTGCGGGACAGCATGAGCTGCGCCTCCTTCTCCAGCTCCCGAATGTTTTCCATGTTCAGCCCGTACCACTCGTCCTGCCAGCACCAGGCCTGCCGGTGGGCCCTCACCATCACCTTCCGCAGGCCTGCAGGGGAGGGAGAGAGAGACAGAGCCGTGTTAGAGCCCCCGGGGACTCCTAGGCTGGGAGGTGCCCCGCGGTGCAGGACAGGCTCTGCCCCTCACCCACTGCGTGGCTTCCAGCAAACCACTGCCCTCGTGCCCGTTTCCCCATGTGTAAATGAGGGGTCCGGCTCACAGATGGCTTCGCAAGCTCACAGTGGCTCTGTAACTGGGGTACTGGGGCTTCCCAAGGTACTGTGTCTGCTCAGAAGCCATGCTGAGTTTTGCGGGGGGGGGGGGGGGGGGGGAATTCCTGCCTTGTGGGGAGCTGGAGAAGGACTTCCTGAGTGTTTCCTATCTCAGAGTCAAGGACACTTCTCTTGTCGAATTTCCCACGGGAAAGTCAACCTCAAGTTCGAAGCACGTTGGTCCTTTCTTTTTTAAACAGAATATATACACATACGATATAAAATAAGATATAAAATACAATAAAGTACGATATATAGGAATATATCATATATAGAAAATAAGATGGAAAATAAGATACTTTTAAGGTGTAAAGAACAGAAGAACCACAGGGACAGGAAGCAGATGGGGGCCCGCCTTGGGTGGGGATGAGAGTGGGGGTGATTGCGAAAGACTCTGGGGGTATGGAATGTTCTAGAACTGTGTGCACTACTCTGCAAACACACTCAAGCTTACGGAACTCAAACTTCTCTTACAACAGATGCAAAATCAGGCCTCAGTAGGCTGCTTAAAAACCATTAAGAAGAAATAAAGCATGTCCCCCCGCCCTGCCCCCGCCCCCCCCCCCGCCACCACCCATCGAGGGAGTAGACGTGACCAGTAACACGGAGCCCACGGTCGCCCTCCCAGACGCATCTTCCTCCCGCCCTGAAAGGGTCCATCCTGAATTTTGCGTTTGTCACTTGCTTTTCTTTCCGTGTTTTTCTGTGCAGTGTGTTGGGCTGGCCTGCATGTTGCTGGCATGTGCATGTATGTGTCGTGCTGCATGTTGCTGGCATGTGCATGTATGTGTCGTGCTGCATGTTGCTGGCATGTGCATGTATGTGCCGTGCTGCATGGATTTTTCTGCCACTTCCCCTTCTTGGGTGAGTTGCCGCTTTGCTGCCGTATGGTATTTATTTGTGTGAAATACCGTATGGTATTTATTTGTGTGAAATACCACATTTTATTTATTCTTTCTCCTGCCAGCGGGCCTTTGGCTCACTTTCATTGTTTGTCCGTTTTGCTTTTATAATCCTGCTGCTCTGAACATTCCGGAATGTGCATTTGAGTTTCTCCAGGGGGGCAAACCCGGAAGGGTCATCACTGAGTCTTCCTCCCGCTTTCCTAGAGAAAGCTGAGCGGCTTCCCAGGTGGTCCGGCCCTTCCTCGTTCCCAGGCTGGTCTCTGGCGACCCTTCCTCCGGGCTCACCTCCCGATTCCCACTTGCAGCTTTGCTCAGGCCACTCGGCCTCCCCAGCCGTCCTTTCTATATCCCTTCATTCCCAAAAGCCTGCCTGGGAGAAACTCCCTCTCACCCCTGCTCCTAGGAGGGTGCCCCCAAGCCCCGGGCCGTGGCCTCAGGCACGCCACCCTCAGGGTCAGCCAGCACCCACACTGGACAGACCATCTGATGAGATGTGATGCACAGACGAGGACGGCTGGGACGGGAGATCTGGGTTCAGACCCAGGGCTGGCCCTGGGCTTCCTCCACTGCAAATGGGGGTTGGAGGGGGTGACAGTGGCCACCCTGCAGGGCCATGGAGAGCTGATGTGACCCCTGTGAAGCATACCGTCAGTGCTGTGACTCTGCTCATGGCTACACAGTCACCCCTGCTCTTGGAGTGAGCAGGTGTCTGCCTGGGTGCCACTCCTGGATCATGAGTCTTGGGGCTAAAACCAGGCCCTGGGCACTGACCTCTGCCCTGACTGGGGGGCAGGGAGGAGCCCGGGTCGGCACTAGCTCCTTCTAGAACCCCTGGGCATCTGCTGTCCCGTTCCCTGGGCACCTGCTCTGGGCCGGGCGGGCGTGGGTGTAGGACAGGAGGATGTCCGAGACGCTCTCCCCTGGGACTTCCAGCCCAAAGCGGGCGGCAGTGCCGGGGCAGGGCCTGGGGTCTGGCCTTGGGGTGCCGAGAGGTGCTGTGAGCAGCAGGGGGGCAGTCCCCTGGGGCTGCTCCCCCATGGTGGGTGGACATCACGTGTTACAAATACCATCCGCAGTGTCTGGGGCAGGCGTACACTGCCTGTCGTCTGTAGGCGCTCGGCAAGTGTTTATATGGTCAAGGTAAACCAGGTGGGTGGCTGCATGTGGGCCCTGGGGGTCGCCTGTCCAGAGTAAGACAGGCAGATGCAGAGAGAGAGGGTGGGCAGACGGGCACACAGACGGAGAGGCCGGGCGCGCTCACCCGTGTCGTGGATGAACCGCTCGATCTTGGACTGCATGCCCCAGTAGCGGAACTCCACCTTGCAGAGCTTGTAGGCGCACATTATGGGGAAGACCTGCTGCTTGTACTCCTCGATCCAGTTCTCGGACAGGGGCCCCCGCTGGGTCTTGGTCGAGTAGAACAGCTTGGGGTCCTCTTCCGTCTTATACTCGTTGGGGGGCACGGGGTCCTTGACGATGTCGATGAAATCTACGGGGAGACCCCGTGAGTGACAACGTCTGCCCCAACCTCCACCCCACCCCTCCCCATCCAGTCTCCTCGCCATGTCCCTGCCACCCCCAAATCCTCGTGGGGCCCCAGGCCTCGATGGGCCACGGGGCCCGACGTGGGGGTGAGGACATTGTTCTGGTCCACCCTGACCCCGAGCTCCCCCGCCCTCAGGACCTGTGGCTTTCCTTGTTCCTTTTCAAATCATTTCAGCAACCCCCCTGTTTTGGGCACGCTTGCCAAAGCGGATAAATAAGGTGATGAGCTGGAGAAGCGTGGGCGAGAAGAGGATGGAGGATGTGGGATGCGGCGGGGGCGAGTAAAAGAGTAAAGCTTCCCAGAAAAGCTGGTGTTTCAGCTACAGGAGCAGAACTGTGAGGCCAAGAACGTCCCAGAATGTGACACTGAACCAGGAGGTGGGGGAGTTTGGGGAACCACCAGGGTGTCCACGTGGGTAGAGGTGATGGGGATGCAGCTGGACACATCCGCCATCTCTCACCAGGCTTTGTGCCCGGCCGGCACCCTGAGGGGAAGTGGCCCTACAGATGAGCTTTAAGGCGGCTGGCCTGCTGGGAAGCCCCTCCCAGACAGATCAGCAGGGAAGAGTCCGGAAACCACGTCTGATGGGCCCAGCGGGAGGCGTCGGGCCTGAGAGGGTCCAGGATGTGCCTGAGAGTGGGCAGCAGATGCCATGGGGCTGGGCGCTTGGGAAACAGCACTGGGGGCTGGTGGGACCTGGGTGAGGGGCGGGACAGTGACTCTGGGAAGGACCACCTCTTGTCACACGGCTCCTCCCCCAAGTCAAAGCCATCCTGCTGGGCTGGCTCCCCGAGGTGTGCATGTGGTAGACGGGTTTGCGTGCCAGTGGCAGACCTCAGGACAGGGTCTGTGGCTCACAGACTCCTTCTTTCAGATGTGTGGGGACGACGGCACTTAGGGGGGCTCTGCCCCGACCGGGCCCCGGCTGTCTCGTCTCCCTGGCTTGCTGGCACTGAGTCTGGGCTGTGGTTTACAGATGCAGGCGTTGGCCCCGACGAAACTAGTGACTGGTCAGAAGCGGCCCGAGGGCAGCAGGATGTGGGGAGGGATGCACATCCTTCCTGGAGCAGACCACGTGCCCAGCCCGCTCAGGCAGGCAAAGGCCGCGAAGGGGGGGGCTGGGACTTAGGAACCATGGCAGGAGGCCTTCGGGGGGAGCCTGCAGCTGGCCGGACAAGAGCTGCCAGAGGGCCTGTGTCATGCTGGGCCCTTCCTTCCTGTTATGGGTAGAATGTGTCCCCTCCTAAACTCATTCATTGGAGTTCTGGTCCCCAGGGCCTCAGAATGTGCCCTTATTTGGAGACAGGGTCTTTAAAGAAGTCATCTAATTAAAGTGAGGTCATTAGGGTGCACCTAATCCAATATAACTAGAGTGCTTATAAAAAGGAGAAATTTGGCTCAATTAAAAAATAAATACACCTGAAACTAACACAGCATTGTAAATCAACTATACTTCAATTAAAAAAAAAAAGGAGAAATTCGAATACGGACATGCACGCAGAGAGAACACCATGTAAAGATGAAGGGAGAGACTGAGGTGATGAGCCTACAAGCCGAGGAAACGCCAAAGATTGCCAGCAGCCACCAGACGCTAGGGGAGAGGCCCAAACCGATTCTCCCTCAGGGACCCCAGAAGGAGCCAACCCTGCTGACACCCTGACCTTGACGTCTGATCTCAAAACTGTGAGACAAAAAGTATCTGTTGTCTTAAGTCCCTTAGTCTGTGGTACTTCGTTCTGGTAGCCCTAGGAAGCTAAGGTATCTCCCAAAACCCCCTGGGGCCTAAAAACTCCGGCAGGAGGAAGGAGTCTCAGGGGACTGCCCTCCAGGCCTCTGAGGCCGCCTGGGAGTTCATCAACACCCCTCCAACACCAGCCGTGCACCCGTCTGGGAACCACAATGGCTTGTTCCTACGGGCTTGGGGCCTGTTGAGGTGCGGCTGGTCCACAGATGTGTCTTGTTTGGGTGGCATATTTACAAAGATTTTTAATTAGTTGTCAACATTTAGGAATTGGAAGATTTCACATGAAAACCCTGATTTCTGGCCTCGCTTGAAAGAGAAGATTTAACAAATGGGGCCTGTTTCCCACATGGCATAGTCAGCTAGAGGGAAGTAGAGCAGAGGCCGCCCACCGTCAAGGGGACACAGGCCCCATCCGGCCTGCTGCACTCACGCATGGCTGTCAGCCTGATGTGGCCCCCAAGCACACGCATGCATTTCTGGGGATGGGGACACTTTGAAGGGATGAAGGGAAGGGGCTTGAGTGGGAAACGCACGTAGCCTTAGTGGGCACATCAGGGAAATGGGGCCGAGGAGACCCATCCTTCCTGCCCCCACACCTCCGACCAGGCTTGCTTGGACTCTAACCTCCCCGCCCAGGACAGGAGCTGGTCTGCAGCCTGCCAGGCCTGAAGATCAGGGGCAGAATCAAGGGGCCCACGGGCGGGGAAACCGGGAACTCAGCCCTGCAGGGCTCCTGCCCTTCCCGGAGTTGGGAGCGTCAGGGTAGACGGTTACCGATCGTCAGCTGGTTCTTTTCCACAGGAGACAGGCTGAACACATTGGGGTTTTCTCCAGCATCAGTTTTATAAAAGGTTTCGATGTCAATGGAGAATTTCTCCACAAAAGGGCAAGTGAACCTGCGGGGGAAGGAGAGTATCCATCAGGACTCGAGCTTAGCGGTGTAGGCGTGGGTGGCTGGGTGGAGGACGAGGGCTGGAGTGGTGGCCGAGACGCGTCTGTCCTGTCCAGCTCCTGGACCTTCACCTCGTCCCAAGAAGAGCCAAGTCCAGGTTGGGGGGAGGGATGGGTTTAGGGGGAAGAGGGAGTTGTTCCGGAAGCTGCCGGCAGCCCTGTGTCCACGTGTGTGAAGCGTGGTGTGGACTCAGGCACAGAGAAGGTGGCACGCTGCTGAGTCGGCTGAATCTGTGTGACATGCCACCCTGTCCCCTGTCCCCTAAGAAACCAGGTGTGGCAACAGGGAAACAGCCCCTCTCTCTTGACTGGAGATGAGCTCAAGGAGGAAAGTGCTGCTGGGAAGAGGCATGACTTGGACGGATCCTCCAGCAAGCTCCAGGCCCTCAACGACCTGGGGAAGGAAGCCCCAGGAGATGCATGGGGACTCCACCTGCCCAGCAAGTGGGCGGCCAGCTGGGAGCGGCCCCCGATCTCTTCTAACGAAGCAGTGCTCAGCTCTATTGGGTGGGGGCGCAGAGTGAAGAGCCCCCCTACCAGAGGGATCCAAAGAAAGCCCTGCTCAGCATGGTTTGTTATAAAACATCATCATAGTCGCTGAGGGTCTCAGGGTTGGAGGGAATCTCTGGGCCATCTGGTCTACCCTCAGTTTGTGTTTCTTCCCAGCTGGTGGACGGTCCTGCATTCCCAGGCGAACGTTAACGTGAGTCTGTATTCCCTGAGCCTTGCCAGATGGCAAAGGAGTCTCAGATGGCCCTCGCTGGACTCAGGTCTTCCTGGTCTCCCCCACTGGCAGGCTAGAAGGCACCTAGGGGTAGACCCTTCCCTCTCCTGCCTGTTCTCTGAGGGGGAACCTGGGGGACCTTCAGGGTACCACTCAGAACGGAGGCTCAGCTCCCCAGAAGCCAGGGCTCCCTGGGGTGTGGGGATTGAGCCTGTCTGGGGGGCCAGCAGCAGCATCTATGCTGCAGGGTTGCTTCCCCAGCAGACAGCACAGAGGCTGAGGGCAAGCTCACCTGGTTCGGGTATAGGGGTAGGCGTTCCAGGACTCCTCCACCACCCGCAGGGCCGCCTTGGGCAGGATGGAGCGGAACCAGCTGGGGATGTGCATGCCCACATGGTACACCTTGTGTGTGTACTGCCCGGAGCCACCAGGGCCGTCCGTGTATGGCCGGTTCTCCAGGATCTCCACGCCACTGCCTTCACCGAACGTCTCGTTACGGCTCTTCTTCTGTGGGGACAAAAGCATTAGCGATGTGTGGGTCCAGAGCACTCTGCAGAGGGGGAGGGGCTTAGGAGGCTGGCCGAGGGTGCTGAATGGGGGGTGGGGTTTTGGCCAACCAGGCTGGCTCCTCCTGTGTCACTGCAGGACACCGCCCCCCCCCCGCCCCCCACCGCCGGCCCCAGCACTCATGCAGGAGACTAAAGGGGCCACGGTTCCCTGTCCGAGCCCAGCACTGCATGTGCAAACTCCTCTGTTCTGACTCCTGAGTGTGCCGGGACTGAAAGTTCCCAAGGTCAGGAACAAGATGAGGATGCCTGCTTTCTCACCTCTAGCCAACATTGTACTGGAGGTTCTAGCCAGAGAAATTAGGCAAGAAAAAGAAATAGTAAGAGGCATTCGAATAGGAAAGGAAGAAGGAAAACTATCTCAATTTGTTGATGACACACCCATATACAGAAAAACCTAAAGAATGAGCCCCACATCTGTCAGACCTAATACATATATTCAACAGAGCTTCAGAATACAAAATCAACCCACAAAAGCAAATACGGCAGAAAGGAAATAAAGAAATCATTTCCATTTACAAGAGCATCCAAAAGAATAAAATACCTGGGAAGAAATTTAACCGAGGAGGTACAAGACTTGTACACAGGAAACTATAAAACATTGCTGAAAGAAATTAAAGAAGATCTAAATAAATGGAAAGACATCTGTGTTCACGCACTGGAAGGTTTAGTATTTGTTAAGATGTCAATACTCCCCAAAGCAAGCTGCAGGTCCAATGTGATCCCTGTCGAAATCCAATGGCAGTTTTGGTAGAAAGGGAAAAACTGATCCTAAAATTCATATGGAACTCCTAGGGCTCTCAAACAGCCGAAACAATTTTGAAAACAAAAAGGAAGCTGGAATGCTCACATTTTCCGATATCAGAACTCGCTAAAAAACTATAGTAGGGGGACTTCCCTGGTTGCACAGTGGTTAAGAATCCGCCTGCCAACGCAGGGGACATGGGTTTGATCCCTGGTCCGGGAAGATCCCACATGCCACGGAGCAACTAAGCCCGTGTGCCGCAACTACTGAGCCCACCTGCCACAACTACTGAAGCCCACAAGCTCTAGGGCCCGTGCACCACAGCAAAGAGTAGCCCCCGCTCACCGCAACTAGAGAAAAGCCCGCATGCAGCAACAAAGACCCAACGCAGCCAAAAATAAATTTTAAAAAACCCCACAACTACAGTAGGGACTTCCCTAGTGGCGCAGTGGTTAAGAATCGGCCTGCCAATGCAGGGGATACGGGTTCAAGCCCTGGTCTGGGAAGATCCCACATGCGGCGGAACAACTAAGCCCATGCGCCACAACCACTGAGCCTGTGTGCCACAACTAATGAAGCCTGCACGCCTAGAGCCTATGCTCCACAACAAGAGAAGCCACCGCAATGAGAAGCCCTTGCACCGCAATGAACAGTAGCCCCCACTCGCCACAGCTAGAGAAAGTCCGCGCACAGCAGCAAGGACAAACGCAGCCGAAAAAGATTCATCCACCTGTTGCGGGTGGTAGTAGCTCTTTAAAAAAAAACCCAAAAAACTATAGTAATCAAAACAGTATAGTACGGGCATAGGACAGATCTATGGAATGGAGATGAGAGTTTAGAAATAAACCCACAGATCTATACGCTATACATATTGATTTTCAACAAGGGGGCCAAAACCATTCAATGCAGGAGAGAAGAGTCTTTTCAACAAATGCTGCTGGGACAATTGGATACCCAAGTGAAAAAGAATGAATCTGCACTACTATCTCATGCCACATATCAAGATTAACTCAAAATGGATCAAAGCCCTAATTGTAAGAACTAAAAGTACAGAACTCTTAGAAGAAAACATAGGGGCAAATCTTCATGACCTTGGATTTGACAATGGTTTCTCAAATATGATACCCAAAGCACAAGCAACCAAAGAAAAAATAGCTAAGTTGGACTTCATCAAAATGAAAACAAAAACTGTTGTGCATCAAGGGACACTATCAAGAGAGTGAAAGGACAATCCACGGAAAGGGAGAAAATAAACGAATTATAGCCATACAATAAAACATGATTTGGCTGTAAAAAGGAATGAAGTACTGACACATGCTACTACATAGATGAACCTTGAAAACATGCCGAGTGAAAGAAACCAGACACAAAAGGCCATATACTATACGATCCCACTTCTATAAAATGTACAGAATAGGCAAATCCAGAGAGTCAGAAAGTAGATTATTGGTGGCCTGGGGGTTGGGGGAAAATGGAGAGCGACTTCTTTATGGGATGATGAAAATGCTCTAGAATTGTGATGGTTTCACAACTCTGTGAATGTGCTAAAAGCCACTAAACTATACACTTTAAATGTGTGAACTGTGTGGTGTGGGACTTACAGCTCAATAAATCTGGTATAAAACAAAACAAACAAACAAATAAAAACCAACCTTGCCTCTTGTACTCAACTAAGATTTCAGAGAGATCAAACACGAGTGAGAAGGGGCCTCGGAGACACTGTCAGGGAGACGTGATGCCTGGGTCACCTCCAAGTGTCTTTCTGCCACGAACGTCCTTCCCAGGGTCCAGAAGCTCAGGTTTCTGCTTCTGCACAAAACCTCGTGGTCAAGGTGCTGGTGACTTTAAGCCCAGCATCTGTTTCCATGGTGACATGACAGCATCACCAAGGCCATCTTCGGTCAGCTTCCTGAACAGCAGGTGCACATATACTCACACGTGCACACACCTGAGTCCTCGCACACGTACACAGGCACTCCCCACAGCACTGCCTCGCCCTCGGGGCACGAACCCTCTCTAAGGCACAAAGACGTGATCTATCTCCATGGCCAGAGACACTGAGTCCCCTTCAGAAAAACAGCAGACCCTGGTTGAAGCCACAGATGGAGTCAGAGCAGGGACATGCCATTCCTTACTCTTTAAAGGAGCTCCTGGAATGTGGCCCAGATTCTGTAATGAAAACAGCGACCATTTCTCAGATGCTTTCCAAGATCCCGCCTCTTACAGTAGCTTCGTTTATTAGCAGTTGTGCTAAGCGCTTGGCATGCGCTTTCTCATATAGTTGCTGCAATGAGCCCTTGAGAAGACTGCAGGACTACTATCACCCCCAAGGTACAGATGGGAAGGTGGAGGCTCAGAGAGGCCGAGTGACCCGTCCAAGGTTACACAGTTACCAAACCGCAGAGCCAGGACGAACTCAGACCTGTTGGATTCCAGGGCCCGCTCGCCCCGAAGCAGTGAGCGCCTCAAGGAAAACACCTCGGGACAAGGTAGGTGCTGATAAGCAGTTATTGAGCAAGTACAGAGACTGCAGTCCTAACCCTGTGGCCAACTTTCTCTCATCTTGGACAAGTTGCTTCTTGTGTCTGGTCTCAGTTTCTAAAACTATAAGTGGGGATGGGGCTACCTGTCTGCCCAAGCCCCAGTGTAGTGGGTTAAAGGCCTCCCCCACCAAAATCCATATCTACTGAGAATCTCAAACTGTGACCTTATCTGGAAATAGGGTCTTTGCAGATGTATTGATAATTAGTTAAGATGAGGTCATCTTAACGTAGATGGATTAGACAACTTAGGCTGGGCCCTAAATCCAATGAGAAGAGACCATTATAAGAAGAGAAAACAGAGACACAGACACACACAGAGGGCAGGCAGCCATGTGACAACACAGGCAGAGGCTGGAGTGAAACAGTTTTAAACCAAGGAACGCCAAGGATTGCCGGCCGCCACCGGAAGCTGGGAGAGTCAAGGGAGGATTCCCCCCAGCGCCCCAGAGCCTTCAGAGGGAGTATGGCCAGCTAACACCTTGATTTTGGACTTCTGTCCTCCAGAACTTGGAGAGAATAAATTTCTGTTGTTTTAAGCCATCCAGTTTGTGGTGCTCTGTTACGCAGCCCCAGGGAATGAAACATCTGGGGTGCTGGGTGGCTCAGTGAGAAGAGGACGTGCAGGTCAGAGGGGTCAGGGCACACGGAGTCTCTGAGGGCTGAGGTGCGGCCTGCCAGGGATCCGAGGGCAGAGAAGGCACGGGGAAGGCCAGAGAGGGAGCAGGGGCGGGGGAGGGTGCCTCCCACCTGGCCTCACTGGGGCTGCACAGACCCCAGGCCCCAGGGATGGGGGAGGGGAGAAGAGGAGAAGGGGAGTGTCCTGCTCACATCAGAAGTCACTGCCCATCCCTGCCAACCACTCCCCGGAGACTGCGGGCTTGACCTACCCTACCCTGCCCGCACAGGCTGGGTGAAGGCCTCTCCCCACTCCTCTCCTCCCCTACCCCATCCCTGGGGCCTGGGGTCTGCAAGGGAGGAGCCTGAGCCGCCAGGGGCCTGGTGCAGAAAAAGCACCGGATGAAGGGGGTGGGGGGTGAAGGATTCAAAGTCCAAGAAACTCCGGCCAATCAGGCAGCTCTCAGAGCTGTCCAGGGTCCTGGCTAAGGCGCTTCTGACCGCTCCCCCCGTTTGCTGGGCACCTCCTAGGATGGAAGGCTCTCTCCCAGCCAGACCAATTTTTTTTTTTCTTTCTTTCCTTCCTTTCCTTTTTTTTAACCTTGAACAACATGTATATTGAGTGCTGGTCAGGCAGGTATGAGGCAGTTTGATACGTGAGCCCATCTTGTTCACAACCTCAGGGAGGAGGTGGCTTGTTTGGAAGGCCGGCCTCTTCCTAGCTGCCACCGCAGTTGGTAAGCGGGATCAGTGGGTAATGAACTAAGGTCTTGCTCTTCTTTCCAGAAAAACGGAGCTGCCTTCCTTGATGGACCATCCATCTCGTAAGGCCCAGCTCGGAATGAGGGCCCTCCTGGAGCACTGGCCCCAAGCCCAAGTGAACACTGGGCTCCCAGCCTCCTAGCCCCACTGCTCTGGCCTCTACTCAGTGGGCTGCACACACATCCGTCTCCCCGCAGGCAATCCTGGAGCGCAGAAGCACTTTGTATTCGTCTCTGTAGCCCAGCCCTTTCCCAGGCCGGGCACAGAAAAGTCTGGGGAATTTAACTTAGTTTTCAAAGAGCATTACTGAGGTAGGATTGACATACAATAAACCATCTATTTGTAAAGGTACAGCCGGTGAGCTGTGATGTACTTTCACACCCACGAAACTGTCACACAGTGGAGATAATGGGCTTGTCCATCACCCCCACGGTGGATGGAGTCCCCCCGGGACCGTGGAGCCAGAGGCGGGTGAGACAAATGCCAGAGCGGGAGCAGAGGAGGCTGGCCTCGAGAGGCACGCCGTGTCAGTGGGGCTGTAGGAGGCATCACCTAGGAGGCTGGGAAGGTTTCACATTAATTGGAGGCATAGATGTTGAAAAAAGCACCTTAATACAGGGGGTGCAGATGGCAGGTGTCTGAGGAGCCCTGAGTCAGAGGTGTTTACATACTTGAAAAAGCCTGGGATAAACTGGAAGCTGAAAGTCAGCCTCCTGGGATCTTGACGCTCCCAGCCCCCAAGCAGAGCTGAGGGCCATCTGCTGTGGTCCAGGGTTAGGGTCCAGGGCTCCCCTGGCTCGGGGAGGAATGAGGAAGCCACAGGACAAACAGTGCCTTTGGCAGATCAGCTGGTCCTTGAACAGGCTGAGAGATTCCCAGAGTGCCCGGCGCTGGGGGGCTGATGCCAGTCTCACCTCTCCCCACTCTCGAGGAATAATTACTGGGTAAGTGGTTCAAGAGGGAATTGAGTGGCGCTTCTGAAGCAGCGTGGAGCAAACAGCCCCCCGGAGAGGCTGAGCTGGCCTTCTGTTCTCTTCCCAGCCAAGCTTCCCACGCTGAGGGCCAGGTCAGACTCAGGATGAGGGTGCAGGCCCTGCCGAGCTCTCCCTGCCCTGATGGCCCAGCGTAACGCTTGCGCGGCCAGGGGCTGCACCGAGGCATCCGTGTACCCAGGAAAGCCAGAGCCAGGCCGGGAGCAGGTTCATAATCAGACCCCCAACTGGGAGGAAAGCTGCCAGGCCAGGCAAAGGGCTGGGGCAGCGAGGATGAGCAAGAGGCTAGCAGAGAAGCTGGGACGGAGACCCCCGTGGGGCAGGACCGCAGCCAGCACCCCAACGAGCAGGAGCTGTGGCCACGTCTGGGCCATGAGGACCCGATCCTGGGTTCCAGGTTAGTCAGGCACTGAGTAGGGAGGCCAGCAACATCTGGGGTGGGGTGATCATCTCTGGTTGGTCACAGGCCCCGGTCATCCTCAAAGTCATTTGTGACTCTGTAAATCAGCCACTTAGCCCAAGGCATGAGGAAAGTGCGTACCTGGAGCCGGGAGGCAGGCTGTGTGCTCTTGGACAAGTCACTTAACTTCTCTGGGCCTTGCACCTTCCTGTCTGTCAAATGGATTGTCATGGACTGAACGTTTGTGTCCCTCATTCCCCCAAATTCATATGTCGACGCCCCAACCTCCAATGGGATGATGCTAGGAGGTCAGGCCTTTGGGAGGTGATTAGGTCATGAAGGTGGAGCCCTCATAATAGAATTAGTGCCCTTATAAAGGAGGCCCCAGAGAGCTCCCTGGCTCCTTATGCCACGTGAAGACACAGCAAGCAGGGGGCCGTCTGTAAGCCAGGAAGAGGGCCCTTACCGGACACCAAATCTGTCAGCACCTTGATCTTGGACTCCCCAGCCTCTAGAACTGTGAGAAATAAACGTCTGTTGTTTAAGCCACCCAGTCTGTAGCACTTCGTTATACAGCCCAAGATGACTAAACACAAGGATAATATCTGGATCAGTAAGAGGACGGGTGTTAGATACAAAAAGCGTTAGTCTTGTCAGTGCTGTGACTACAGTGCGGGCGAGACAATCCAATGCCACAAACATCCACGGCGCGTTGCGTGTGCCTGGCTTCATGTGCAGAAAAGGAGCCAGAGCTCCAGAGCAATTCAGACACTGGCCAGAAGCCTACTGGGCAGATACTGCTGTGAAGGCCACGGTGCCACCCAACCCTCCACGCCGGTGCTGAGAGCGGCTGTGTGCACGGCCTCACCACCCACCTGTATCATGTACAGCTGGGCAATGCGGTACTCCTCCACGGTCATTGGCAGAGGAATCCGATATTCCTTTATAATCATCTTGGAGTCCAAGCCTTCCCGTCAATGGGGAACTGTGCGTTGGGACTTCTAGGCGAGGTTCCTTAAATAACCATGACAACATTCACCAAGGACCCCTGAGAGAGAAAGAGAGGACAGGAGAGTCACTTTCTGCAAAAGCTGATGGGTAAAGTACCACAGGAAGGGCCTGGTCTAGACCCCAGGCTAGAGTTCTGGTCTCAAGTCAGCCATGAGCCCACTGTGTGACCCTGAGCCCACCGCGTGACCTTGAGCAAGTTCCCTCACCTCCCCAGCCTCCATTTTCCCTGTTTGCTAAGCCACTGTGTAGAGGACATGTATAAACTCTGATCAGCCACGAGGAAATAAAGGATTGTTATCCTGCTAGCGAGGGCCAGGCGATGGGAGGGCATCGCATCCCCTAAGAGTCAAGAGCATCGCGTTCTTGTTTTACGCAAAGTTCTAACAGCCTGCAGCCTCCGCCTCCCCGTGTTCTGGAGTAGCTGGAGGCCGGCACGGTGACGGCAGCAAGTGATGACGGCCGGCAAGAAGGCAGGACAGACAAAACTACGAAAAACAGACGTGAGAATTTTAAAAATCAGCAGTCTGGGACCATTCGGCGTCAGGGCAATCGGTTCTGCTCCTGTCACCGGGTGCAGGTGGCAACACTGCTTCCTGGCAGGAGATCCCGAGTTATCAAAAGAGGTGACCTTAGGTGTAGTTTCAGTTCAATCCACCACCAACTGCCTATTGATACCTACTCTATTGCCGACATTGGGCTAGGTCTTGGAGGTAGAAGAGGAAAATCAGATAAATGGGTGGATTGCGGGGCATGGGAATTACATCTCAATAAAGCTATTTAAAAAATAAAAGCAAGCAGGGCTTGCTGCTTGGTGGCGCAGGGGTTGAGAGTCCGCCTGCCGATGCAGGGGACGCGGGTTCGTGCCCCGGTCCGGGAAGATCCCACATGCCGTGGAGCGGCTGGGCCCGTGAGGCCATGGCCGCTGAGCCTGCGCATCCGGGGCCTGTGCTCCGCAACGGGAGAGGCCACAACGGTGAGAGGCCCGTGTACAGTAAAAAAAAAAAAAAAAAAAAAAAAATATATATATATATATATATAAGCAAACAATGTATTCACAGTAACTTGTATTTAAGATGACAATATATTTGATGAAGACTTGCACCTAAAGCAATCATATTTAAAAAAACAAAACGAAACTTAATGCTTGAAGGAGGCATACCTGCAGTGATCTGGAAAAAGAAATCACCCATGATAATCTGTCCCCTGGGTGGTAGGGGCTTTGCTGTGGATATATTTGGTTACCCCCAGAGAGAAGGGATGCTGTTAACTGGAAGCTGAGTGAAGGTTTCCAAGACAGGCAGTGGCAGAATCAGGATAGTAGTTTAGAAGGACCACGCCAGGGACAGCAGTCAGTGAGGATTCACAGGGACTGGAGGCAGGATGCTGGCTAAGTGATAAATGCAAGGGCCGACCGGGCAGGCAGCTTCCCCAGGGCACCATGTGTACGAGGCCTGAGCATCACCTGGGCACTAACGCATTACTGGATAACTAACGCGACTGGGAAAAGCATGTGTACCAGAACTCTTGGGACCTTCGGTACGTAAGGTGGAAAGAAATTCTTTAATAAACCACCTAAGGAGGGAGATGGAGGCTGGGGATGGCACCCACGTTATGAGCCTAAAGTGACCCCCATGTTGTTTCCTTCTTTACAGCAGGTAGGACTATTAGCCCCCAAAACACCCAGCACCAAACTCAACTTCTCACTTATCCAGCTGCTTGAAATACAGTCCAGATAAACATCTTTTTAGCCAATTAGAGTTCACCTACTTTACATACCCCAGAAACTGCACCCAACATCTACTAGGCATAGATGAGACAAACCCGAGTTCATAAAAGACCCCGAAGGGGGAGTTTTGTGACCCAGAGGCTCTCCATCGTGATTCTGAGCGATGCCACCTCGACACATGAGCCCCCTGTCGAACTCTGCCTCTCCCTTTCTGGGTGGTGGTCCCACATCACTGTATCTGGAAAGCCTCTTGCTGGGAGAAATTTTCCACCCTAGCAAACCTGTCCCAGCGCCATCCAGGAAAGCTTGTTACTGCCCCTCCTGGTCCTGTCTCTTCCCTGATCAACCCTGGACCGCTGAGCTTACCACAAAGGGGAGGACTCAACCCTCCAGAGGCCGTGCTCATGTGCAAACATCACCTCTAACCTTCCTTGAAGGTGTGGGTCCAGCCAACAGCTAAGAGGGCACGTGGGTTCAGGGCCCGAGTTGAAATTGTCCAGGAGGGCGAGAAAGCAGAGGCTGCAGGCTGCCTGGACTCGGCTCTGAGACCCACAGGTCCAAGCTCAAGTCTGGCTGGAAGCTGAGGCCGCAGGAGAGACGAGTGATGGTCCAGAGCCCCCAAGGCACCACCTCCTTCCACAAGAGGGTGTGACACAAGACGTTGAGGGAATTCCCTGGCAGTCCAGTGGTTAGGACTCTGCGTTTCCGCTGCCGAGGGCACGGGTTCGATCCCTGGCGGGTACCTAGCAAGATCCCGCAAGCCTCAAGGCACAGCCCGAACAAGGAAACAAGACCCTGGGCTCAGCCGGGGCAGCGAGGCACCCAGGCTGACACCCCCAAGAGGGTAGGACAGGCCCCCGATTTGGGAACCTCCTGACACAAACAAAGGAGAGAGAACCGTGTGCTTGCGAGAGGCTGGATGAAATGCGGACTGGAGACAGGAAAGGGAAAACCTAGGTTCGATAAGGGCCATTTTTCCAAAGCTTTTCCACGTGGCTTTGTGGGCTCCTTCTGTGGCAAGGGATAATGCAATGACCCAGAGTGAGCCCGGGCAAGTCCACGTCGTCATCTAAACTGCTAACAAAGAGGTCAGGTGCAATCTCTATATGTTCTCGAGAAACTCTAAGCAACCTGCCCTTCTGGGCTCTTCACGGCTCCACAGTAAATGACCTGCCCGCACTCGCCCACACACGTCAGACCAAATGTCCACTGGTTTGCCTCTTCCAGCCCACCAGGCACCAGGGCAGGATGTGGGGCCGGACTACGCTTTTTCCTGAGAAGCCTCCATTTCCCCCCAGCAGCCTCCACGTCCCCCCATCCTAACACCCGGATGGACTCTCAGACCATGAGCCAGCACCCAGACACAGGCTTGGTTCTCGATTTCGGGGGCCCTGTGAACACGTGTCTGGAACACACACAGGATAACGTTCCTCTCCTCCCCAAGTCTCCGCTTTCTTCTCCCAAAGACAAGCTACCCAGTGAGCTGTAATCCCACAGGGGGCGTCCACATCTCCACATGCAGCCTGAGGGCACAGAGACAGGGAGGGGACACATACCCAGAGGTCCCTCAGCAGCTCCCATGTCCTGGGGGAGCTGGGCTCACAGGCGAAGCTCAGGGCCGACCAAGGGCAATAACCCCACGACGGCCCCCAGAAGACAACACGCCGCTTAGGCTGCATTTCCATCTCCTGCTGGGCTAGAGGAAGACAGCTGTGCCTCCACCCAACACGGGCCAAAGAGTGACAGAGGTAGGTATGGAGAGGGAAAGAACAAAATAAACGGTCCTGTCTAGTTATAGTTAAGTGCGTGGTGACTAATGATAGGAGAGGACTCAGAACTCTGAGTGACACAAAATGTGCAGCAGTCACAGTGGAGCTCCTCCCCCCCCCCCGGGATCTGAGGTCGCAACCTGACAACGCGCTTCCCAGCCGTGTGATCCGTGCCCGCCGAGCCTCGGTCTCTCCATACGTCAAATGGGGATAATGCCACCCGCCGTCCAGAGTCATCGCCAGTGTCACCGAGATGAGTGCGGGTGAAGTGCTCCCCTTCCAGGGGGTGTACGTCTCTCAGTCCAGAAGGACTTGGAAGAGGCTTCACAGAACGTGGAGCTTTCAAACGACATGAGCTGGGTTTCCCAGGATCAGTGAGATTCTGTTCAGCAGAGCACGTGGGAGGAGGACACTCTGGGAGAAGGAACAGCACGAACAAAGGCCCCGAGGTGGGAACGCGCCGCCCCATCGGAGACACCTCCCACTGGCGCACCCCCAGCGTCGCCTCGCCGCGTCCCCGGAGGATGGGGCCAGGGCAGTGGGGGCACGGAGGCCACCGGCGGCCACTCTCCACAGGGCAGGCTGTGCTCAAGGCTGAGATGAAGCTGCTCCCTGCAGCAGGCACGACAGCCACACCCACGCGCCCATGGAGTTCAGGGTCTGCTGGGGCGGGAGCAGGGTGACAAGAGACCATCACTTGCTTCAAGAATTCTCTCTCCCAGGGGAGGAAAGACATACTCGCCAGACAGGGTGTAACCACAAAGCATGAGTTTCCTGACAAGCACTTCCACACAGAAGCCAAGCCGTCCTTCCAAGCAGCCCTGGGGAAGGTCTGCGGTCACCCACACCCACCAGGGCTGCTCTCTGGGTCACTGTGAGCCCCTTGGGTCACTCCCAGAAAGAGGAACAGTGCTCGGGAGAGGGACGCTGGCCCCTCTTGGGGCTGTCTTTCAGGGAGATCACTCTGAAGGGGCCAACAGTCTCTTGTCTCATCAGATACTGGCGTTTTATTTACTTAAGAGAGCCAGATCTGTTTCTTTCTACACCTATGCTAGTCGGTTCTGACAACTATCCTGACTTCCTGTTGAAGACAGAGCAGTGGGAGCTCTTCCGTTCTCAAAACGACAGACAGCGGCTAAAGACAGAGAAAAGTCACCACGGCCGAGCAACGAGGAGATGGCTGCAGCCCCGAACCACAGTCCATGAAGGATACCAGCCAGACACCACAAGGTCTGAGCTGGGAGGAAGGAACATGCTGACAGCCAACACGTGCCACCTCGGACCTCTGAACAAATACCACCTCCTGAAAGACATGGAACGATGGAGTCTAGGGCTGTGGATGCCCCCGGGGGAGGAGAGCCATCACCCTGTCTTCCGTTTTCTACTTTTTATTGAAGTATGACATACCTCCAGGAGTATGCACATAAGTACACATATTTTCACAAACTGAACACACCCATACAGCCAGCAAACAGATCAAGAACCAGAAAATTAATAACCCAGAAGCACCCTCCCCCAGGCACACCTCCCCCACCACGGATA